TATGGTTAGGATAGCCTTATGCCTATCCCATGCATGCTTAAACTCCTTTACTGTGTTAACCTCTACCACTTCAGCTGGAAGGCTATTCCATGCATCCACTACCCTCTCAGTAAAGTAATACTTCCTGATATTATTTTTAAACCTTTGTCCCTCTAATTTAAGACTATGTCCTCTTGTTGTGGTAGTTTTTCTTCTTTTAAATATAGTCTCCTCCTTTACTGTGTTGATTCCCTTTATATATTTAAATGTTTCTATCATATCCCCCCTGTCTCGTCTTTCCTCCAAGCTATACATGTTAAGATCCTTTAACCTTTCCTGGTAAGTTTTATCCCGCAATCCATGAACCAGTTTAGTAGCCCTTCTCTGAACCCTCTCTAAGGTATCAATATCCTTCTGAAGATACGGTCTCCAGTACTGTGTACAATACTCCAAGTGAGGTCTCACCAGTGTTCTGTATAATGGCATGAGCACTTCCCTCTTTCTACTGCTAATACCTCTCCCTATACAACCAAGCATTCTGCTAGCATTTCCTGCTGCTCTATTACATTGTCTGCCTACCTTTAAGTCATCAGAAATAATCACCCCTAAATCCCTTTCCTCAGATGTTGAGGTTAGGACTCTATCAAATATTCTGTACTCTGCCCTTGGGTTTTTACGTCCAAGATGCATTATCTTGCACTTATCCACATTAAATGTCAGTTGCCACAATTCTGACCATTTTTCTAGTTTACCTAAATCATTTGTCATTTGGCTTATCCTTATCCAATGCTTTAAATGTTTGGATTAGAGGGTATATAGAGTTATACCTTCAAGCATTGGGTGAAATGAAATCAGGAAATGATGGAGTGGAACTTGAGTGGCATTGTTCCAATGACAGAATGCATGTCACAAGAGAGTACATCGTGATTGTCCCTCCAAATCCAGGTAGTTAAGAATTACTGCACCTTAACACTAGTGTCTGTGGCTATGGTTAAAGGAACACTTTAGCGTTAGGAATAAACACGCGTATTCCGAATGCTATCATGTCCCTAGTCCTACAGTCTCACCCGTTGGCCATAATAAGGCAATTTTACTCCGCTTTTTCCAGTGCCGAGGCTCCCATGGTGCTGTTAACCTGCCCACCTCCCTCAACGTCATGGAGGAGGCATTGCTTCCTCTGTAATGTTCCAAGCCAATGCTCCTTGGGACCTAATGTAACCTAATTTGCATGCACGTTGACATCTGAATCAAACTTCAAAATAGGGAAACACAGAGTCAATGCTTTCCTAAGGGGCAACATATAACTGAATTTTACTCTGCTTGTTCAACGGAGGCTCCTCTAGTGGCTGTCATACGAAACAGGATGCAATATAAATTTAGGACAGGGACACTGCACCCAGATCATTTTATTGAGATGGGTGATTTCAGTGTTCTTTTAAAGAGAGCTGTACTTGCTCACAAGATGATGAGAACATCTAAGCGCAATTAATTTACTGCCCATATTATTTCCAGAAGTCCCTTTAGGGATGGGGGGGAGGGGCTTTAGAGCTCACACCCCCTCAAAACATCAGTGAGCCACCACCATGCTTCACAGTGGAGATGGTATTCTTTTAACTATAAGCTTTGTTGACCTCTCTACAAACATAGCGTTTATGGTTGTGACCATAAAGCTCTACTTTGGTCTCGTCACTCCAAATTACAGTGTGCCAGAAGCTGTGAGGCGTGTCAAGGTGTTGTCAGGCATATTGTAACCAGGCTTTTTGTGGGATTGGCGCAGTAAAGGCTTCTTTCTGACAACTCGACCATGCAGCTCATTTCTGCTGTGGAGCTCTGTTATACACTCAGACACATTACTGGGAGTATTATTGCTGTGGAGCTCCGTTATACAATCAGACACATTACTGGGAGTATTATTGCTGTGGAGCTCTGTTATACACTCAGACACATTACTGGGAGTATTATTGCTGTGGAGCTCTGTTATACACTCAGACACATTACTGGGAGTATTATTGCTGTGGAGCTCTGTTATATACTCAGACACATTACTGGGAGTATTATTGCTGTGGAGCTCTATTATACACTCAGACACATTATTGGGAGTATTATTGCTGTGGAGCTCTGTTATACACTCAGACACATTACTGGGAGTATTATTGCTGTGGAGCTTATACACTCACACACATTATTGGGGGTATTATTGCTGTGGAGCTCTATTATACACTCAGACACATTACTGGGAGTATTATTGCTGTGGAGCTCTGTTATACACTCAGACACATTACTGGGAGTATTATTGCTGTGTGGCTCTGTTATACACTCAGACACATTACTGGGAGTATTATTGCTGTGGAACTCTGTTATACACTCAGACACATTACTGGGAGTATTATTGCTGTGAAACTCTGTTATGCACTCAGACACATTACTGGGAGTATTATTGCTGTGGAGCTCTGTTATACACCCAGACACGTCAACAATATGGAGCTCCTAGAAAAGAGGGGCATTAGGATAGAAAAGAGGGACAGAAGGATTAGGATCCAACATAGGTACTGTACCTCCTAAATAAGGACACTTGGAAGGTATGGGAAACATTCTATTTTCCCAACTCAGCATGGCCTTTCCTGTTTTAGTGATTTGCCATGGACATAATGAATTCAAATCATGTTCATCTCAACATTTTATGCACTATACGCAGGGCCGTCTTTAAAGAGGGGCAAAAGGGGCAGCTGCCCCGGGCCCAGTTACTCCTGGGGGCCCTAGGGCAGCTACCCCATGGGCCCCCTGCGGCACCTGAGGTAATCAGGGGCCACAGACCTTTAATACTGCTCTGGACCGGCCCGGGCCCCTGTTATATGGGGGGTGGCTGACTACATACTCACAGCTAGCCCCCTCACATACTGCCCTGTGAGTCTCTTTGTTTCCTGGGCATGCTGGGAGGCAGTGAGGTCAGATCACTTCCTCCTCAGTGCCGCTGGGGAGGAGGCACACACCACATGGAGGAGGATGCAAGCATTGTGGGGGAGAGGGACTGAGAAAGCTGATGGCAGACTCCCATCAGCCTGGGCCAGCAAGCTCTCACTGGACACCAGGGAAGCCACCTTTCTGTACCCAAAAGGTAAGGAGACAGGAGGGTGGCTAAATATGTTTTGTTTTTGGTTTTGCTAATTTCTGATATCACTTTTATTTAAGTGTGTTGGTGTTTGTAATGTAACACACAGGGAATAAGTACATGTTAAAAATCCTAGAAGAACCTGACAGTTCCCTATTAAATATAAATTTAAAAAGTATTTATTTTAACATATTGCATCAAGTGTTATCAAAGGCTGTACACCATTTTCAAATGTCACATTTGCCAAATTCTGGACCAGGGTATGTAAGAACAGAGTTGAGACATTATATTGGCCAAGGTTGCTGGGAGTTGCTGTCCAAGAGCTGCTAGAAGGCAGAGATTAAAATATGTAAATGTACACATATATATGTGTGTATCTGGCTGTGTTTATGTCCTTGTGTGTATCTGGCTGTGTTTGTCTGTGTGTCAGTGTTTCTGTGTGTATGTATACCTCATACACCTGTATGTGCACCTGTGTGTGTGTTTCGGTGTGTGTGTAAGTGTGCATCTGAGTTTTTGGTAATGCATACATCCCAGCATTTTAATGCCAACACAAATACACTCCTACATTCCATCTCTAGCACTGTACACATATACACCCCTGCATTTATACCTTTATGTATGTGTGTATCTGAGTGTGTGTGTATATACCTGTGTCAGTGTGTGTGTGTATGTGCCAGTGTGTGTATATCAAAGTGCTTGTATCTGTGTGTCAAAGGGTGTGTATCTGAGTGTGTGTATATGTGTATGTGCCAGTATGTGTCAAGGTGTGAGCATGTGTCAGTGTGAGCATGTGTGTATCTGCGTGTTAATGTGTATGTGTATATGTGTTATAGAAATCACACAACATGCAAACAGACCCCTGCAAACACAAACATTACAAACACACCAGTTTGCTGAAACACTAATACTACACACAAATGTACACAACACTACATCCAAACACCCCCCTGCATGCAAATACAAACATTACTGAAAGGGTTAATGTTGTAATGGACTCTAATCCCCTCGGTTCTCGATCCCTCGGTCACCATAATCAACGTTGATGGAGAATCATTTGTAAGCAATAACACACGGACAACAGCTTTACAAGACTCTCAAATGAGTGTATTCCAGAGCTGGCTTTTATACATAGTTTGCTTACATTAGCCATGGTATATGCAAATACAGTACAGACTATAAGATTTATTACTTCCTTGTATTACGTTATTCTGACAATGGAAAGATAAGCTTTTGCATACGTCTGGAAAAGAATATCCTTAAAATCGGAATGGGCAAGACATCCTGAAATTTAGCATTGTCTTACATCCTATAGAAGAAATACCTTAGTCTGTCACAGTCAGCATATTGACTTTAAGTATTCAATATTCCTTCAGTCAGCAATAATCATGTTATAAACCTTATAAAAGCATAAAATACATATAAACAAGTTAACTATTTAATATTCTTACATTCCCCTCTTTGAGCAATAAAACAATTGCTCATCTTATCGATAAAATCTTACCAGGACAGAGAAACTTCCACATGGTATTTTCAGGGGTGCTAGTCACTCCCTGCGGGACTTTCATTAATTTCTTCACCTCGATTCCCATGTGGTAATTCCTAAGGCCCAGTTAAAAAGATGGGTTGATACTCTACAGTGGCAGAGAGGAGAATTTTTAATTGTTTCTGTTCTGCATTATGGATTCATTTCTGTACTCTCTTCCTCAATGTACAAGTAAGGTGACAGTTATATAAAATCATACACAATAAAATCAGGACTATAATAACAAAATGATAGAAGAATGATTTCATTATCTGAGATCCAGTAGGGGACCAACCAGTAAAGCATTGTACCAATCATGGGCTAAATCATTCTGAATTTGTGAACTCACCTTAAGGAGTTCTCCTTTTAGGATATGTGTGGCTACCAGTGTGTGTTATCTTTGGGAAAAATATAGTCCCCTGTGTATGTGGGTGCCCACCAGGTTAAATTCTTGGCAAAAAGATCATAAACTGGTACTGGTAATGTGTTAAATTGACAAGCTAATTTAACATCCTTTGATGTTGTATGATATAATGTAAAATAGCATGAGCATGAAAAATGTGAAACATTACCAGTTAACCATCCATTGCATTTACTGGATTGGGGTTTTAGAAGTAACCATTCATTATCTGTGAGGTTACGCTTTCCTCTAATCTTCTCTAGTTTGGGAATCATTAGTGTGTTTTCTAATGCCAATCCTTGTTGTTGTATCCATAAATACCTGATGGCACAAGTACTCCAGTTACTTAGATCTGTAGTGAATTTCATAGTTGCAACAGTTAAATTATCTAAATAATTATACATTGATTTATCTAAATCCAATCCTATAACCTGTGATTTAACAACAATTGGAGCCCAATTTGCAGTAGCATGGAAACCAGTCCCTATATGCATGCTGGCTGTGTTTAACTTATTCTTGAGGGTCTCCATATCTATAACTATTTAGTATACCCATAGTGGTTCCAGCACCATCTAACAGTGTGTCATACCATTCCCTTTTCTGCCTTTGTTTGTTGTATTACATAATGTTACAACAAGAGTAGTGACTTTTAATGACACATGTACAGCTTGTAAGAAGGCAGTTGTATTAACACATGTGGACGGAATAGGTGTGTGTGTGTCGTGTTTGACTTTTGGTTCTATGATAGTGGATGAAGGACAGTAATAAGGTGTAAAAATATAAGGTAGTGTATAGTTCTCAATTGCAGTGTCGTTCATAATGACTAACATTTGGCCCCTTTTTCCAATTAATGATACCAGTTATATAATCATTATTAAAAGTAATAAGGCCTGTCTATTTACATTGATATGCAACCTTAACTGTGCACATTTCTGCGTTATAAGATCTAACAATTTTCTGTGAACCTTTAAACAAACATAATGCATCGGTTTCATTAGCTGTAGACACATTTCATATGGGTAACTGGTACTTATAAGGGTTACTATTTGTCCAATTCATCCAAATGCGTTCAGTGAATGAATGATTGCATATTGCATGCTGATAGAAAGGTGGTGGAGAAAGGTTCTTGAGGGGGCGTGTGTGACGAATGCTAGATGAGGGGCTAAGGCCTAATTGGGCTGGGGGTATTGAAGAATTGTTCATCATGTCAGAGTCTTTTTTCAGAAACAAACAGGTTTCAAACTTGCCATTGACTTGTACTCATAATGGCATTCAAGGAACAATATCAGAGGGAGTATAACAACTCCAGAAAGCATAGCGCACAACATAATCTTGGTCTCAGGTACGTATGATCCTCTCAATCTACGATATGGTGTAAAAGCCATGATGCTTCGCTGAGGAGAAATTCTTCTGTTTCCGAGCGAGGAGTGGTGTTGTCTTCCTTGGTTCCCCTCTTTGGACACAGCTTCACTCGGGATGCGTGAATCCAGATGTCATGGGAATCTGTGAGGACAGCGGTTCTGGTTACAGCAATCACAGTAGCAGGTGGTCCAAAAGGGTATCCTCCTTTCTTGGTCCTGTTCAGCTGACGGATATACACCTTGTCACCGGGCTGGTATGAATGAGTAGGTTCCTGTGAAGGTAAGGGAAAACTGCGAAGAAACATTGTCATACATACCATTCGGTTTTATCAACAATTCACCTTGTGGGGATATATTCTTATCTCAGCTAAAATAGCTGGTAGATATCTAGTCCAATTTACCCATGTTCCTGGGTAAATTCTGGGCTTTTCCTTAATAGTCCTATTCATCCTTTCAACTACCCCTGTATTCTGTGGATGATAGGGTATATGAAACTGCCAGGTAACTTGCAAGAATTTAGCAAGTTCCTGGGCAACCCTACTTGCAAAAACCGGGCCATTATCAGAGCCAATCTGCAGAGGGCAGCAATACCGGGGAATAATTTCAGTAACAATAATCTTCACTAGCATCCTCCCTAGATGTCACAAAGGCATCATGCCATCCACTAAACTGATTAACTATGACCAGTAAGTATTGCTGTTTCTTACCAATTTTGGATACATGAATAAAATCAATCTGTAAGTGTGTAAAAAGAGCAGTGTTCACACGATCTTACAAAAGACTGTACATGCTGCCTGAGATTCCTAATATAAAATGAATTCATGAAGAATTGAATGGTGCTTGCTATGTGCCTGACTGATGAAAATAAATCAGCTTGCTTCAAGTATGCCTATTCTTCAAGTATGCCTATTCTCCAAGTATGCCTATTCTCCCCTCTTTAGAGAACAGATCATTTTGATCTTTCTCTAAACCTTGTTTAATCCAAAAGACAGATTCTGGGTATTTAAAAAAAAAGAATCTCATAACCACTGAAGCGCTGGGCTGTCATGTGTTGTGTGGTGAGATTTGTTATCAGCTGAGTGACCTGGTGACTGGCATGAAGTATTGTAGGATGCCCTAGTGTGATAGTAGTAGCAGTTTCAACAGCCATTGCACATGCTATCAATGCTCTGAGACACGCCGGCATACCCTGTACCGGAGCTCGAACTACTTTGGAAAAGAATGCTATGGGACGCATACCGCCTCCTTGCTCTTGTGCACAGACCGCGGCCATGGTTTTACAATTGTCCCAAGCATACAAATGAAATGGTTTACAATACACAGGTAGTCCTAAAGCCTGGGCTTGCACAATAACAACTGTAAGGGCAATATATGCAGCTAGCATGTCTGGTGACCAGCAGACATTTTCAGGGCTGTCAGAACGTACAGCCTCCCTTAGGATTGAGTCATAATGGGAGCATTCAGGGATCCATGGTGGCAGTAATTAATCATGCCGAGGAAGGTGAGCAACTCCTTCCGAGTAGTGGGTGTAGGAATCCTCTGAATGACCTCAATACGTTTTGGACTCAATTGTCTGGTGCCTAAAGCCAGAACAAAACCTAAGTATTCAACCTTTGATTTACACAATTGCATTTTGTGTTTAACAACCTTGTGACCTACAGTTGCTGACAGTATCCACAGTGCTTGCCTCATAGCTAGGGCTACATAACAACAAATCATCAACATTTTGCAAAAAGGACGGAACCATGACCGGTGGTCCATGTTTTTTAGAGTATGTTAGAGTACCAACGAATAAACAGCTGGGGAATCCACATAGCCTTGGGTAAGCGTGTCCAGGTAAACTGACAGCCTTCAAAAAATAAAAACCATAAGTAGCTGTGTCTCTTGATCAATAGGTATAGAAAAAAATGCATTACTTAAATCAATGACAGTGAAGCAAGTGGCATCATGTGGAATGGCTGTAATGAGGGATGTCACATCAGGGACAATGGGTGAAATGGGCACAATTAAACTATTCAGGGCTCTAAAGTCCTGAACTAAGCGATATGCTGGCCAGTGGTGTTGGGAGTGGGTCTGGTGTTGTTCTTGCCTACCGGGCATATTTTGAGAAAGGTGGGGTTGTTGGGGTGTGTGGGGTTTCCTGGGGTGTGGACACTCATTCCTCCAGTGGCCATATTGGCCACAGTTGAAACAAGTGTTCCTGTCTATTCCTCCTTGGTTACCCCTGCCCCTATAACCCTGATTTCCCTGTCTCCATCCCCTTGCCCCTCTTTGACCACCCCTTCCACGGGCTTTATGTGCTCCATCCCATCCTCGCTCTCAGCCTGTGTAGGTGGCAATCCCTGAGCATAATAAGCAACCTTACTTTCCTAAATCTTTTCTTAATTCAAAACAACCTGCATTTTCCTTTTCTATAACCTTGGTAAGAAAATCTGAGCTATCCAAATTGGCCCAGTCTGAAATCAATTGTTTCACAAGCAAAGAATACTGTGGCAACATATTACCAAGGCATGACTGTATTTTAAAGAGATCTATATCATCTCCAGACATCAAACCTGCCTCATCCTTCCAACACTTGTAAAATTTCTTTACAAAAATCATATTACCAATCTCTTCCTTTGCATCCTGCTTAAATGCCAAAGCAGTGAATATAGACTGCTTATTCTTCCATAATCCCAACATTTCAGCTTCCACCTTGTTCCAAATTTTAGCACATCTTACTGAAGTACTAAGCTCATAATCACCAATTCATTTCAAACCATATAACTCATACTCAGCATCCAATGTAATATTAGTCATCTCATAAAACAATATCTTTGTAGAAACACATAATGGGTACCCAGCAGATATGCCAATACAGAAATCACATTTATGGGCACACAACTACACACTCTGTGTCCTTCCTAGGAAACACGGATAGACACAATATAAAAGCAATCTTAAACTAACACCTCCAAATCTCCAACTATTCTTGGCCAAAACGCTAGTATTCAACAACTAATAAAACAGTTATTTGCTAGGTTATTTCTCTGTCATTCTTATCAGTATCACTAGACTGTGACAAACTGATTCACATATAATTTAAAACAATACAGCAACATATACATTAAACCACTTTCAAGTTAAACTGCACACTTATCACACATTATCACAATCACCATTTACACAGAATAAACAGTTAACAGCTGTATTCAGAACATATTATTGGAAAGTATACCAATTTTAGTTTAGATTTATTTTAGGGATTCTTATGTATACATTTTCTTAATTAACTTCATTACTTTAATCTACTATAGTATTGTATTTAAAGAAAGGATCCATTTATATAGCGCGCTCATAACTCAACTATTTGTATAAAACTTCCATTAACTAATCTGAGATGATGCTGCATCAACTTAAATCTTACAGAAATTGAACAAACATCTGGACCAGATTAAACAGACATGGTTTCACCTGAATCTTTCAGAACTCTCAGAGACTTAAAAATTTATACTGTACCATGTTTTAAAGGCATGGCAAACCTTTAGACCGGTCAGTCTCCAAGAGCCCTTTGTAATACAGGTAAAAACCTTTGTCCATGATTTCTGATTCAGGCTATATACCACAATTTAAAATAACACATAATGTGAGACATAGAAGACACAAGCAGTAGTTATTACACTGGATCATTTAAAAGGAACCTGTTGCAATAAAAAGGTTAGTTTACAGTGCAAAATAAAGCATGTGTTGGACCGCTGAAAATGTAAATGTTGCTCTGTTATTTTCAAACATAAATCATATTTAGTATGGATCCTTTGCAACAAACACACAGGGCAGGGAAGATGTGCTGATTGGTGTTTCTATACAATTAATCCCATATGGGGAATTAACTTTCAAATACTAATGAAGTGACTTTTTGTCTCAGTTATAAAATATACTGAGCTCATCATGCAAACAATGCAACACATTTACACTATCCCACTCTCATAATAAATGTAGTGGGCTTATAGTATTTTTAAAGCAACAATCATTCCAGGCACACAGTTCCCATGTGAAATAACTTACAATAAAACAGAGTAATAAACTTATACTTCTATGCGACAGAAAGAATAAAGCAAAAAGATTTAAGTAGGTCTATCAGGTACAACCTGTGAGTCATTTCTTTTCTAATATACAGTACTGCTATCTTGCAGAAAGATAAGTCCTGCGCTCACTCCCATCACTACTGGGCAGCAGCAAGGACTACAGTACACATCAGCCCCAATATATGGTAAAAACCAAAGAAAAACAAGTTACCTGCGTTCTCTCCTTAATCCCTATGTATTTTTAAAACCTCCATTTGTTTAAAAGTACTGCTATCTTATATATACACATATACATATACACACACATATATACATACATATACACACACATATATACATACACATACATATATTGGTCACTCAGGACATGAACTCACATTTCCCATACTGCTGACTCAGAGTGGGGACACTACTAACTTACCAAAGTGTGTCCCCAATATAGACAAACAATCACCCACAAAGAACACTTAAGACAAACAAAGGTGACCGGGAGAAAGAGAAGTTTGGGTTATACTTATAGATCTACAAACCGTGCTGCTCAGAACACCTATAGACTTAATAAACCGGAGACCTCTTATGGTCTCAAAAACCTGTATCTACCTGAGATACCCTGTATCTATCTTAGATACTAACCTGGGTTACCAAAACCCTATAATAAACCGGAGACCTCTTTACAGTCTCAATATAACTAGAGTCCTTACACCTTTCCTATCTACTGGATACAGTCTTACTGAACCAAAGGGGGGTCATAGACAATCAGCGTCAAATAAGACACAAAAAGGCTACTCACCGCAAATGGTTTTGCTGATCCAACTTCTATCCCACTTCTAGACACCAAGCTGAAAGGGTTAATGTTGTAATGGACTCTAATCCCCTCGGTTCTCGATCCCTCGGTCACCATAATCAACGTTGATGGAGAATCATTTGTAAGCAATAACACACGGACAACAGCTTTACAAGACTCTCAAATGAGTGTATTCCAGAGCTGGCTTTTATACATAGTTTGCTTACATTAGCCATGGTATATGCAAATACAGTACAGACTATAAGATTTATTACTTCCTTGTATTACGTTATTCTGACAATGGAAAGATAAGCTTTTGCATACGTCTGGAAAAGAATATCCTTAAAATCGGAATGGGCAAGACATCCTGAAATTTAGCATTGTCTTACATCCTATAGAAGAAATACCTTAGTCTGTCACAGTCAGCATATTGACTTTAAGTATTCAATATCCCTTCAGTCAGCAATAATCATGTTATAAACCTTATAAAAGCATAAAATACATATAAACAAGTTAACTATTTAATATTCTTACAATTACATGCAAACACATTCCTGTATTAAAACGCTAAAATTATATACAAACACCAACTCTACACACAAAAGTACACCTGCATTTAAAAGCCAACACTACAAACAATCACACATCCCTGCATTAAAATGCAAACACTACACACAAGTACACCACTGCATTCCAATGGTAACAGTACATACAAATACACTCCTACATGCACACATAGACTCTATACAATAACATGCTGACATTCATTTGCACAAACACTGCTCAAAAATACAACCCTGCAAGGATGGTAGATCCCCAGCTGGCATAGCATCGCAGGAGTTGTATGACAGATGGGGATCTATCTTTTCTTTACTCTTGTGCTACAGGGCAGGCCTGAATTTTTTTGTTGTTGCACCAAGGCACTCTCTACATTAGTTTCGCCTCTAGGTTGGGGTGGAGGGAGTGATTGCATGCCCAGGGGGCCCAAACAGATGCTTGCCCAGGGTCCAATCAATATTAAAAACGGCCCTGACTATACGTCACTAGATTAATGACAGACATTTTTAACTTCATGTTTTAATAGAGCAATTTGAAGTGGGGTGCCTGTACACCTTGTATAGCCTGGAAAATATTTAAATTCATACATTTTTTTAAAATTCTTTATTTAAGCATGGCCAAATACATATTCCAAATAATCATACAGAGAGTATAGTAATAGTATGGTCTAACATAAAAAGTGCATTGCGTATAAGTAGAGTACAGGTCTTTGTACATGATAATGAGTATATTCACATTTCTAAATGATCACCCACTGCTATTACCGATCTATAAAAGAAATCAAGAAACAAACATATGACTAATATATCTATCGTACCTGCTAACATTGGGTGGTATGTAATCGAGATAGGTGGGTAGGCCTTGTCGAGGATATCACCAGTGATGCAACTTGGGTCACTGGCAATACTAGCAAATACAATAGGCGGGCCAACTCCACCCAACCACCCACTCACCCTCTGTATAGGGGTAATAGTGTGAGGGAAGGCTGTTTTTAGTGACCAGCCTCTTCACACTGAAATACCTTTTTTTTTAATCTAGTACAACCTAGGTACAACCTTTTTGGACGAGATGATAATCAGTTACACGCCTCCAAAAATACTAAGCACTGATTGGCCAGCATCTAAGGGTGTCTAACAGGGGATACCCTTTATATTTCCACAGCCTGTCAGTTTTCATTTAGCCTTTGACGAAGGTACAGCACTTCACCACCAAAACACGCATCAGGCTCTCAATGGTTTGATAAAACACTTGGCACGGGTTGCACTTATGCACTACCCACTTTAATTCCGTCTTATTCTATCCCATCTAGAATTGAATGGAGAGAGGTCTGGTTCTGTAAGCCGTCAGTGGTTTTACACTCACAGTCGAGATATTTTTCGTATGGTCTACTTCCGCCTGTGCCTGATTGTTAAATGGACATCCCTAATTTTGCACTATAGGAGACTTAGACACTAACAATACTTACTCTTTTTTTTAAATTATTTTTTATTCCCAGACCTTTTTATACTCTGTGGATATCCCATAGTGGTTGGATACTGTGAATAATTTCAATTAACTATTCTGAATCATGGTTGGTGGTCCACATAGGCATCACAGTATTAAAGGGACACTATAGTCACCTGAACAACTTTAGCTTAATGAAGCAGTTTTGGTGTATAGAACATGCCCATGCAGCCTCACTGCTCAATCCTCTGCCATTTAGGAGTCAAATCCCTTTGTTTATGAACCCTAGTCACACCTCCCTGCATGTGACTTGCACAGCCTTCCATAAACACTTCCTGTAAAGAGAGCCCTATTTAGGCTTTCTTTATTGCAAGTTCTGTTTAATTAAGATTTTCTTATCCCCTGCTATGTTAATAGCTTGCTAGACCCTGCAAGAGCCTCCTGTATGTGATTAAAGTTCAATTTAGAGATTGAGATACAATTATTTAAGGTAAATTACATCTGTTTGAAAGTGAAACCAGTTTTTTTTCTTCATGCAGGCTCTGTCAATCATAGCCAGGGGAGGTGTGGCTAGGGCTGCATAAACAGAAACAAAGTGATTTAACTCCTAAATGACAGTGAATTGAGCAGTGAAATTGCAGGGGAATGATCTATACACTAAAACGGCTTTATTTAGCTAAAGTAATTTAGGTGACTATAGTGTTCCTTTAAAGCCTGAGGGTGCGTGCAGCACAACTGTGTAATACATTGTGACATTTTCAAACTTCATTGCCATTCTTAGCAGACAGGATAATTGTAATTTCACTCCTATAGGGATATAATGTGCAATTATTTCCTGAAATAAAAGGGAGACGATTATTACCATGTAGAGTCAGTACACTTTGGTAACTTATACTTTCTTTTAACATTTTTGTTATTGATTCATCAAGGAACTAAATCGGGAAGGAGGGACAGGTCCCCAAAAGCGGGACTGTTGGGAGCCCTGCTTATATTAAGATATAAAAAGTATTTGAACTTAAACTTTTATCTATGTGTTACCTCAGTATCACATTCTTCCATCTTGCGATTGTCAACAAGGCTCCTGCTTCTCTGAAATCATTGAAACGGTTTGACTACTTGTAATGATGGGGCACCATAACCACAACATGGTGAGTGGTTATGGTGTTTCCAGCAGGAAAAGATTAATATCCCACAGGACCCTAGTCACAAGACTGTTTTTTGCCCTCTTACCCCTTTCCCTTCATTCTTCACACAGAGATGGGGTGGAGGTGGATGGGGCATGCAATCTCATAGTTCCAGGGCTGCTGACTAATCTCTGGGCCTCGGAGGCTGTCTAAGGTCACCTTGTGGGTCATTCTGTTTAGGTTTGGAGTCTTTCTTTAAGAGAGGCCGATCTTTGCTGTCCAGACTGGAAGCTTAATAGATAATGCAAAATTGTACTTTTTCTAATGTCACTGCGTATGGAGAGGAGGAGATCTATGAGTGGTGGGAAGAGTCACTTGTGACGGAACGCCGTCATTGAGTACCATGCTCACATGTGCCCACAGGCTTGCCTGCTTATTGCTTTCAAGCCATCATGCTTGGGATCTCCCCTTGTTCGCAATTCATGTCTGGGCTTGATTGGAACATTGTGCTTGTCCCATTCTAAATATGATAAAAACGAGGCTTGAGTATTGATCTGTGGGTGGGTATTAATATCTCTTTTGGATATGATATTGAAACACAAGGGTCTCTTTTTGTTCTTGAAAGCTAATGATCATTAACATGTCAAAGGACTTCCTATCTAAGAGGCAATCAAGACATATGGCAAATGGGAGAGTTAGTTTGTGCAAAAGCCAGACTTCCAGGCCACTTGTGTGTGACTTCTCACACCTGGCAGAGTGGCTCTGTTGGGGTCCCATCTTAAAATAGAAAATTGGATTGTAAGCTCTGACCTTCCATGCAATCAATTAACCCCTTTTGAAATATTAAAATGTGTTGGTGCGGTGTTTGGAACTTTTGTAGATTTTCCTGTACCTGAGGGATAATTAAATTAAATAGGTTTTCTCACGCAATTATATCTCAGGCACAGAGGATCTTGGGAGAAAAGACCCTTGATGTTTGTAATGGAAACCCCTTGCAGGGGACTTTACATAAAAAGGCCGTGTGTGGCCCTGAATAAAGACAGTCTACTCCCAGAACTGTGTGTCGTCCAGTTACTGGGGGAAAATGACTGTCTGCTTATTTTGATGGTTCCAGAGTGGCTGAAGGAAGGAATTAGCGGAGGTAACCGGTCGGGTTACTGGTGGTCCGCTACATCACTTATATTTTTTTGTAAAACTGCTCAATAACTGACAGATTGATCAAATTGGTCATCATCAGGTTCCAACTATGGAATAAAGTGAGCAGTTAGGGTAAGTGGTATGGGAAGAAGGGTAGGGCTTAGGATCTAGAGAGGGGGTAAGGGTATGCAAGTTGGTTTGAAAAAAGGGAGATGAATAGGATGAAGATATAAAAAGATTTGTGTATAGAATATTGTATATATAGTATTGTTTTCTTTTTCCATATTGACATGTGATGTATAAGATAATGTATACATCAGATGGGTAACTTCCCCATATGATCCTTTGTATATATATATATATATAATGTTATGTATATATTATGCAGGTAGGATTTTTTACACAGCCGTTTTATATTATATGTATTTATTATATGACTATGGGACTCACAATGACTGTTAATGTTTGTTAAAGGGACACTATAGTCACCAGAACAACTACAGCTTATTGAATTTGTTCTGGTGAGTAGAATCATCTCCTTCAGACTTTTTGCAGTAAACACTGTCTTTTTAGAGAAAATGCAGTGTTTACATTACAGCTTTGAGATACCTTCACTGGCCACTCCTCAGATGGCTGCTAGAGGTGCTTCCTGGGGCAGTGCTGCACAGTGTGATCGCCATTCAGTGTCTCCACCCTCTGCATGCAGACACTGAACTTTCCTCATAGAGATGCATTGATTCAATGCATCTCTATGAGGAGCTGCAGATTGGCCAGGGCTGTGTTTGGCTTGTGCTGGCTCTGCCTCTGATCTGCCTCCTTGACAGTCTCAGCCAATGCTATGGAAAAACATTGTGATTAGCTCACAGAATCACTTCTGATGATGTCAGGCATGCAGACAGTTCAAGGTCAGAGGCAGCAGCTGCAGAATTGAATACAAGTAAGATTTTACTATATTTAGGGAGGCAAGGTGGGATCGGGGGGGGGGAGGGGCTAGATGGTGGTTTTAACACTATAGGGTCAGGAATAATTGTTTGGGTTCCTGACCCTATAATGTCCCTTTAATTACTGTATGTATTGTGATTGTTGTACATAGACTTTGATGTTTAGGATACTATACATTAAGCATCTAATTTCCATGTATGGCATTTATTTTCACAGTGTGTTTTATAGGCATTATTCCTGAATTTTTATGTTGAACGACAGTAAACACAACATGGTAACATTACTCAGTTTGCCCCAGGATTTCTGGGACATGTCGATCATCAGAACATTTTGTTGCTTGGATTTCCTCGTATGCCCTTTGACGCACAAACTGCAGTTCACATGGTTGTTGTGTCTTTGCCTGATCCACTATTGAGTCAAAGGATGGAGCACAACATGCTGCTTGGTCCTCCAGCGGTTTTTGGTTACGTTACAAATCTCATTCATACTTGCAGAAATTCTTCAGCAGTTGTGGTAGTTCCAGCCAGTCTATGGCCAGTCGGTGGACCACGTGTTTCTGAATGATGAGGCGGCACAGGGTCTGCAGGGAGGGAACTGAAACAAGAGAAAGGAATGAGTAAGTATAGTTTGCATCGTAAACATCATATATTAAAAAAAAAAAAACACGAGTTGACAAGAGTTCCTGGCTGTGACATATTTAACCCCATTCACTCCCAAATTCTTATTATTTGAAATAAATTTGTGAAACATGCAATCACTAGCATGTAAACCTGGGGGAAAAGTGCATTGTTTTGTGGCTTAGAACTGCTGTATGCCGGGGCAAAAAGAGAAAACGACCCGAGCTTCAGGCCATTAGTTAATTTTATGGTCCCTTCCATCCGATGTACAGAGTTATTGGGAAATCTGCAAGTGCAATATTGAGAGAGAAAAAACACTTTTCAATTGTAGGTTTTCTGGAGACTCGGACAAAAAATGACAAGTCATGGGCAATCAAGATGTCATTATATTCAGCAAAATACAGTGTCATTAGAGTGCCACTGAGACTACAGGTTAATGTGCAGGGTACACAGCTAATGACTCTACATACATGTAGTCTAATGAATCCCACACTGGGCTATTCAATAAAATGCAAATGGTCAGAAATTCTAAATAATTCAAACTGGGTTATTCACTAAAGGGATAACTGACATGAATACAGAGGGAATTTAAAATTAAAGGCCAAATTTCTGAAATTGACTTTGAATTCCCATCAATTCTCACTCTGATAGTGACTTTTAGTTCATAAAAGCCAAAAATGGTAATTTGAAAATGATCAAATTTTTTTTTTTTTTTTTAATGCTTCATTGTATAACGTTACAAGATAACAGCAAATAACCAAAGAAGTGAGAGAACGACATTAACCCAAACCACTACAGCTTAATGTAGTGGGTCTGGTGTCTATAGCCTGTCACTGCAGGCTCATCAATGTAAACATTGCTTTTTAGGAGAAAAGGAAGTGTTTACATATCTGCATAACTACACCTCTAGTGGCTGTCACTCAGACAGCCACTAGAGGGACTTCCTGGTTTAGGTATTGCAATCTTTGCAGGAACTACGTTCAGGGTGATTCAATGCATCTCAGTGAGAAGATGCTGAATGGCGCAGCGTGGCGTTTTACCCCGCGTGCAGAATAGCCCCCCAATGCCTTCCTATGGTAAAGCATTGGATTGGCTGAGATCATCAAGGCTGAGATTAAATCAAGATTGATGATCTCAGCCATGTAGATGGAGCCAGCCATGGCAAAACCAGCACAGCGATGGAGAAAAGGGTAGATAAAATCCTTTTTAACTCCATTCTGAGGAGGGCCTGACACCTAAACATGTAGTCAAACACTATGGTGTTTATTTGTGTTCCTGACCCTATATTGTTCTTTTAATAGAATAGAAAAGTGTGCCGTCAATGCAGATGTCAAATGGATTTTAAAGTATCAAACAAAATTAAAAATGTATAAGAAATAACCATTGGGCAGATTAGAGTGGTCTTTTCATGGTGGATTTAGTGCGGCCTGATCTCTTTGGCATGGGCCATTTCCTGCCATTCTCCCCAGCTCCATCCCAAAGAACAGAGATTCCCTTTCCTGGGTCTTTATCAGCTGGAGATACAGCAAACTATGCAAATGGTGAAGTACTTACAGCAAAGTCTACCTTGAAAGGAGGAGAATTAGCAGGTAGGTTGTCTGATAAAGTATTTTTTTATTGTGCCACCTGTGGGTGGTAAAGAGACTGATGAACCAGCCAGCATTGAATAAATTGATGTTTTCACTCCCTGGGCAATATGCAAGACATCCAGGCTCTCTATTCCCAAAGTTTGAAGAAATGCATCTATCATTTAGGTGCGATATGAGCGGCACCTCATTGATCAAACACAAGTTTGAATAGGAAGCTCCACGAACATACAATATTCTGTTTCCGCGGGATTTGAATGACTAGTTTCATGGAGCGTCTCTCAAATAAGGAAGCCCAGAAAAAATCTTTAGATATTTGGACTTCCACTTTGTCCACAGCGACTGGACGCTGTCCGCAGGTTTGATGGAAATAATGCAAATGAGCGAATCCAGTCTATAGACATTACGCTGAGAAGATTAACTACTGGGTAACAACAATGAAGAGACATCATATCTTTTGGGATAGATGGGTAGAAGATCGTAATCATGGTTATCAAAAAAAACCTTATGTAAAAACGATGGATTTCCGGGATCCTTCTGATCTTCACATTTTTCCGTCTAACTTTTTTTGTCAATACCATATTGGTCAGATTGACAAATTTTTATTTTTAAATCAGTTATGGTTCATTTGATTGCTCTGTTACTTGGATAACTATGGTCATTTTAGAGATAATGCATGCCGGCGAGTGCTGACCCCCAGGGATGAGTGCATTTAAACCCATCCGGATCAGCTTTTACGGACCAGGAACATCTCTAGTGTCCACTCCTCAGACGGCTACTAGAGGTGCTTCCTGGGTCATTGCTGCACAGTGTGCAGGCCGGTGCAGTGTTGGAAATAAGGTGAGTTTTCTAGTTATTTAAAGGGGGCAAGAGAGCTAACATGTTTTTACACAAACATGCATTCTTGACCCTATAGTGTTCCTTTAAATTAAAAATCTATACACATTTAAACTTTTTGTAGTGTGATAATAATTATAGAGAGTGTGGTAACCTGGGACTGTGAGACAGGGATCTTATATCAGGACTGTCTCTATGGTTTCGGGAATCTTGGGAGGTATGGGAAAGAAGAAAAGCACCAGTATGCTATAAATAGCATATGTACAATGTGAAACCCATTCAACAAACAAATGCACAAAACATAAAGCAAAAGGTAGTAAGTTTTCAAATTGTGCAGTATTATCTGCTATAAAAATATATTACTTCCCTCAACAGAAAATGTAATTGCTTTATATCCCATGTGTTTTCAGTTGTTAAGCAGCTTATTGTACAAAATTGCTGGAAACTTAACCCACTAATATTAGTGATTTAATCCCTCGCTAAATGCAAACGAAACAATTAACATGCATTGTCCACACAACTAACGAACCTTTACAGGTTTATGAATGTACTTAGTAGATCATTTCCCATTACTAAGTAATCTATTATTAATTCTCACCCTCACCTTGTGTCCCATGTGCTGCTTTTAAAAAAAATATTTTAAATTTATTTTTATTATTTTTTTTTGTATAATTTTTTTAAAAATTATTTATTTTTTTGTTGTGTTTTCTTTTCTGCGTCACGGTACTGTGTTTTGTAAGAACTGGTATACGTCTACGCGATTACTTTTTATTGTGTATATCGCTGATTTGTAATAATGCCAACGATTTGTTGTAACTGCTGTTTTTTCTTGTTTGCAAAATCAGCAGAAACAATATTTACTTTATATTAGGAAAGACATGGAATATCCTAAAAAAAAATAAGCACGCAATGCTGAATGTCTTAAGCATGTCGTAAGCACGCGGTCTGTATATGTTGATATATTTTTTTATTTTAAATAAAGATATTTTTTAACTTTTAAAATTGTTTCATTTTTGAACTTTTAAATACAGAGATTATTATTATTTATTGTTATTTATTGAAGTAAACATTGTCAGGAAGTTAATTTCAAATTTAAAGCCCAAATATCTGAATTTTAAGAGGAAAGAAAATAATCGCCTGGTCACAACACCGCAGACTGGAAGCCTGTTTTATGTGTTTATTGAAATAAAGTAAGTTATAAGCTTTAAAAGGCTTACTTCAAACACCATGACTACTTCTGTGTTTTAAAGTGGTCATGGTGCCTGGAGTCTGTATGTGTAGCATTTCGCTATGAAGCTACCTAGTCTCTCTGCTGGCCTTCTGAGTGTGCACAATGAAGTAATTCTATGGTGCCCTGGGCGTGGTGTGTACCGAGGACATCTGCGCATGCGCACTGGTACATGCACTGTGCGTACACTTATGGGGTTAACTAATTTACATGCTTTGCTTGTAACATGAAAATAAAAATATGCAGATTTTTAAAGAAAAGGTTAGCACTACCAATTGCTAACTTTTAGTTGGCTATTCAGTGATCCTAAAATGACATTGCCTCTTTAAAGCGATAATTACGAATTTTGTTACAATTATATGTTACTATTGTTACCCTCCGGCCAACATCTGCAAGCTTCCAGGGTTAGAGGAGGAATTCTCGTTAATTTAAAAGCTAATTAAATAATGACATAACAAATCATAATAAAATAGGGATTGATAATATTCTTCTTTAGAACCTTAAGGAACAAGGGTTTAAATGTCAGCCCGTTTAATAAATCAAGTCATAAAGCAGGTTTGGAAATTGAAATGCACCCTCTCTCCCCTCTTTCTCCACCACTTTCCTAAAATAGTAAATAAATTAGATGTATCTATGCCCCTCCTACTGGTTACGTGATAATCAGATACGTCGGCTACAGAAAACTGAGAATGAAGAGCAGTTATTAAGTTGTGCACTCTGCAGTTCACTTATAGAACTAAGGAAGTCCCCAACCCTACCCTCAGTGAACCTGTTTTAACCAAAAAAATGCTTTGTAGAATTAAAATTAATGTGATACATACATCCATATTCCAACTGGATAACACGGACACTCTTGGTGGAAGCGAAGACGTCAACAACAGCATAGAGGGGCTGGTTGGCAGGTATCCCACGAGCACTAGGTCCCATGTCTTCTCCGTTGATGATTATGTGCATTTGGTGGGTCCCATCTGACTGGGGTTCATACAACACTCCGATCCTACTTCTCCGTGCCGTCGGTGGTAGAACATTTAATTTGTATAATTCATCTAAGATGTGACTGAAGCGCCCTGGCCGACTTCGAGCCACAAGCTTGTCACGAGGAATTTTAATCTTGCCCACATTTAAGTAGGGGTCTGTTAAGAGTCCAATCCCTGCTCCATTGCTGGTGATTTCTCCATCCTCCTGAGCCACTTTGTTATGGTTCCGTGTAATAGCAAAAACCCAGCTATCGCCCATATTCACAAGGTCTGGAAGAGAGTATTCTGGTACTGTGTTTAAGGTTCTGGGATCTCGGGCCATCAGGCCCACTCTTAGATGACCACACCATCCCAGCTCCTTTTCCTCAATCTCCACCAAAAATATCTGCCCAGGTTCCAGTGGGTCCTGACTAAAGCAAATACCATTTGCAAAACTCTCTACCCTGGTAGCTTGTGTACCTGAAGGATCAATACGGACATTTGTACCATGAACACCGTGGAAACGCATGAATGGCTGGCAGTTCACCGCCATTTCTCCTGCACAAAGCTCGGATGACATGGTCATGGTGCTATTTTTAACAAAAAAAAAAAAAAGTGACAGAGCATATCTGTCCTGGAACAGCTGCAGGGACGGGGGCTTCTCCATTTAGGGAAAGTAAAGATTGTCTCATGTTTCAAAATTCTAATCGCACAAGTAAAAGAGAAAGAGCTGCTTAAACCAAAAGACCAACTTTATATCATTCTACAAATTGAACTAAGACAACGACAAAACAATAATTAAATTGTGTTTTATTATAAATGTTGGTTTTAAAAGTCCTTTTAAAAAAGCAAGTATGTCTAAACAGTGAGCATATCTCGCTACGCTGAAAATTGAGAGCAGTGAATCCATACATTCTGTTTGGGTTTCCTAGTAAATTTTGGGTTTCTGTGCATTATTGCAGTATTAAAAAAAAATAAAAAAAAAAAATAAATTTGTTGAGTCAAAACAACACAATTCCATATGTTGGATCAATATTTATTTTGGGACATTTTGAGTGCACGGAAAGCCAGTGATGGCACAAATGATAAGTACAAGGTTCTATGCTGCACACAGAACCCTAAATAAAAGCAGTCTAGTTTATCATATTGACGTTGTTAATGAAGTACGTACAGAAGAGCAATATTTGTGCTGCTAGGCGTTTATGCAGCATTATAGAAAAAAAACGCAGAGTGATTAATCACAATGTAAAATACACCATAAAATGTGTCCTAAATAAAAATACAAGCAAGGATATTGCAAATAATTGGACAATTGCAGATGTAGAGCCCATGGAAACAAAAATATACAACACATAGTGTATGTACAAAGCAAAGTATTGTATTAATCAATGGTTGCACTCACAGATTGCAGAGCCGTGCCAGGCTCTGTATAAAAACGCCCAATAGTGCCCTTAGGACAAATGGAGACCACCTGTGGACAGCTCACAATGAAGGGTCCGCAATAGTATGGCATTAGAAGCACAGGAATCGATAAAATGAATGTATTGATAAAAGGACAAGTATAAAAACAAAGTATATTTAAAAAATCTTATTGGAAAAATATATAGTCCTACAAAGCGGAGCATTGTTACAGTGATATACATTGTATATATATATATATATATAAAACATACGATCCAGCGGACTCACTCATTCACTAAACAGCAACTTCAAAGCTCACAGTATTTATTAATTGTATTTTTTATTTTTTTTTTAAACACCTAACGTAGGCAAAAATAATCTGGGTTTAGTTACAGTATATGATCATACAGTCCATAAACCTGCCACAACACCAATGTGTCACATTTTTGGCAGGTCCTATGCTAGACACCAATTGCCTGCTCTTATGAGAGTAACCCACTTACGTAGGAAATCCTTCCTATTGCTGTCTGCAGTGCAATGTTAAATAGATCCTTGGTTCTCATATATATTGTATATTCTCTTATACTAGTAGAATGGTGGACATTTTCATAAAAAGTGCTGTAGCTAGATTTGGATCTTTATGAATTCCAGGGCACCATATATTTATCTTTCAAATCTTTTAATAAAACAAAATGCAGTATAGAAAACAACGGAAAATGGGCCAATTGGACTCACACTTGCACTGGCTAAATGTTGCTAACCCTTTTCTGGCCATAAATGAGGAAGTCATCATACATTTGCCTCTTGTCATTAAAATTAGGTCCTGGTTTTATATTTTGTGGATAAGCTTTTCAAACATTGCAATATTTTGCATAAACTTTTAAAATGTTTTGTTTTTCTTATATCGAAATATTAAAATATCAAAAAAAAATATTGTTTATAAAAGATATATCAATATTTCAAAAATGATCTGAGAAGCGTCACCAGAAATATTAGATTGAGGCATTAGTTGGATATCTATATACCTCAGAAACATAAAGTGGTTTGTGTATAGAATATTCTATCTGCAGAAACTCTAAACATTATATGAATGTTGTGTTTTTAAATAGTTAATGGCAAATTAGTAGATGAAAATGTATATTGTGTGGGGCGAAGCCAATATCAGAGCTGAGCAGAAGTGCTAACTCGAGCTCTAGGCCTCATGCGAGGAAAACTGCGACTTAGGAGCGAAAAACAGGCTCCAGCCAAACCCAACAGCCCCTCACCTTATGCAGGAGAAAGCTATGGGTCAGAAAAACAAAAAACAGAGAGCCGCAAAGGCCCCCTAAGCCGAGACATAGGGGAGCTGTTACGACGCTTGCAGGCCCCTATGTTGGACAAAATGGCGCTGGAGGATAAAGGGCCTTTCTACTTCTCGGACAACGAGACATTCGTAGCAGAAGTGGGGGCAATGAGTGCTCCAATTGTTAGACCTAAGCCCCAGCAAGCCACCACTGGAGATCCGTAACAGAAACCCAGTTAACGAGCATGCTAGCCGAACTACGGAAGAACATAGCGGCAGACATGGCAGGCATTAAAGATGCTATAGAAGGCGTCACCTCCACAAACAACAAACAAACAAGCAACCAACAACAGGGTTGACACGTTTGAGGATCGACAGAGGCATTATAACCTTAAAATCCGCGGCATACAGGACACTGTAGGCCTAACAAACTTACCTCATTTTGTCAGGTGCAGGATAGGCGCCTTGCTGCCACCCAAACAGGCCAAGGCAGTATTGCTAGACGGCATGTTCAGGCTACTGAAGCCAGCCACAGCACCGACCTCCGCTCACGCGGCTGCCCATTTGCATTTCGAAGGAGCCGTGCAGGCCATGTTCCCTTACCTCACTAGAGGCACCATAGAGTGGCGCAGGGCGCTGAGGGTACTACTACCTCTTCTCCAAGACAAGGGCATCCGAGCTGGAGACTTTCCTACGCAAGTTGGGACTTGCGGACTCTCCTCAGGTGACGGCATCGGGTCTGTCCCGACTAGATCCCTCTGCGGTACCAGAGTTTGTTCCTAGATCATCCAGATGACCAACTTCCCCACGGGAGAAGACCTGAACAGATATGAGTCACCCAGGACTTACCTGTCAAACCAGGGGATATATTACCCTCAGTCCGCAGTTTCCCCACTAGCAGCTATCCATAGCAGCACAGTTATAACATGTTAATGCTTTGTTTTTTTATTTTAGCTATCGGTTCTCTTTATATATAATTTCTTGGCTCTCAATCTACACTGCTAGGAGTAGTCGGCCTTTCATACACCGCTCTTTACACTTACATAAGCCTCCACAGATAGCTCTATACCGCTAGCCGACACTCACGATACCTATGCTGTCTTATTACAGACCCCCCCCCCTAACCCGGCACTCACTGATGTACCTTCCACTCATGCAGGCAAGACTGGGAGAGAGGAATTTCCCTCCAGGGTAGTAACATCCTCTATTAGGTTCAATCGTTAGGAACTACTCGACCCTCCTGGGGGGGAGACTATATTACAGCCCTCACATACAGTTCCTTAAGTTACAACATAACTATATATAAAAATGCTCCACATGCTCAATAATTATTGGTGACGATAAGTGAGTCCCTGTGCATGCACGTATGACAATTCTGATATGTGTCACTGTATTTTTCTCTGTGGAATGAAAAATAAAGAATTAAAAAAAATGTTTTTTTAAATGTATATTGCTTCACCTGTTAGGGGAAATTATGGTAGAGTATGATTTTAAAATCATTTTATTGCAGTATTTCAGCATAGTGCACCCAATGAATAACACTGTAATGCATTTTTAGATATAAAGAGTGCAAAGATAACCAAATTAGTACATTTCCGTCCCGCTACAGCAAGATAAAAAAACAGCTGTAAATGCAATATATTACCAATCTGTCTAGACAAATAATATGTTACATAAACTGATAGATAAGTAGGAACGTATAGCAGGGAGATAGGAGCTCCCTGCTTAATATAGATCTATTCCATGTAACCATAAAAAAGAGAGTAATGGTGGTAGACAAATGACTGTGAACATAAGAGAGCGTAAAGATACAAATCAAAAGTCAAAAACTCCAACATATAATGCTCTTATAAATCAGCATTAAACCTTTAGAGCCCTGTAAGTCTTGGAGCACAAACACATCTGCTTTCTTCTATGTCACTGGCCAAGTCCACGGTTGGATGTCAGCTTTAAAAAAAAAAAAAAAAAAGTAGAAAAGTAATATCAAGGTGACACATCTGTGACTCTTATGTATAATTAAATTGCAAGCTTTCAAGACCAAAAAAGACAGACACACACACTCACTGATTATTTTTTATTTTTTTCTTAACATCAGACCTAGGTATGAGTATTCGCCATCGCTCATTTATTAATGTTTTAATCCAAACCATGTTCATCATTTGTTGATTTCTATCACTGTTTTTATTCACTTTGTTATGTCGAATATATTCTACTAGTTAAACAAGTAACACACAAACAACCGACCTTAACAGACAAAAAAAAAAACAATCAATGCATCGCTATGAGGAAAATTCAGCGTCCCCATGGCAGGAAGCCCCTCCAGTGGCCATCTGAGGACTGGCCACTTGGAGGTGTCTCTAGGGGGCAATGTAAATACTGTCTTTTCTTTGAAAAGGCAGTGTTTGCATAAAAATGCCTGAATGGAACTATTATACTCACCAGAACAACTACATTAAGCTGTTGCTCTTGTGACTATAGTGTCCCTTTAAGTATTCTTTAATTTTCTGTTTATTTTGGTCTAGCTGAGGGATATTATATAAGGTATTATAATAATTCTTAAATGCGATTCCAAATTTTTTTTTTTTTGTCAATCTTTCTTTTATGATGGAATTTGAGTCACAGGGTACAGAATAAAGATGGGGGTCATTGCAAAGTGATACAGAATAAAGGTATCCGTATCAGCATGATTTGGGGTACACTCCCACGAAAAATTGCCATATTTTATAATATGTAAACATAGTCACACAAACTAAACTTAACTATAGCGTAAGAATATATTAAAGATAACTTAAACTGCGCTTGTCAGAATACTAGTATGGGAAATGAAACAAGCTTAGCCTTGAACAAGCTAGGATGATTAGACATACTACGTAAGTGGTAAATAGACTATGTGCGAGTTAGCCCGCTAAAGCCATATTACGTCAAGCTAGATTTACACTGGACAGGCACGAAATATGAAACGTGCCGAACAAAAGGCACATTCAGGTAAACTATGCACGTGGTAGCATGCTAAGAGTGCCTGCGTATCCCTACAGCAGTTAGTCAAGCTCAGGCTCAGAAGTCAAGATAGGGTTAGACATTAGTAGGCCCACATAGAATAAACAGGTGTATTATTTTGCCCGGCAGGCTAGTAAACTGGTGTGCATAACATCTGATTAGCTAGGTTAATATAAGGAAAAAAAAAATACTGAAAACAAAGCAGACGCTATGAGCAAAACTGGACTAGGTAGGCATGTACACTGGTATGATAGATTATTCTGCATGACACGCTAAGCCCTTGAGTATATCACTGGAACATAGCAGACTATTGGGACACTGCACCCTGTCGCAAGCATATCTTCTAAGCCTGTGCCTCTGGTGCCGCAGCCCTTGGGGCTAACAGTAGCAGAGTCATGTGTAACCTGCTCGTTGGAAGCAGGGAGAGTTCGCATACCAACTTTCCGACTTTCAACCAATGCCCATTCTCAGTGGAGGAGTCACAGGGGCCGAGGGTTGCGTGGTGCCGCGGTGTATAGTGGGCGGGTTGGAGACCTCCTCCAGCCCCAGGCCTGTATGGAGGGTGGCATCTGTAGGCCACAGACTCGTTGGCTCCAGGAGGCTGAGTCCTTCCCTTGACGGGCACGTCGGAAGACCAGGGTGTTCTGCTGCCGCCAGCGGCGGGCAGTCTTCCTGCGGTGTGGTCTATGCCGCCGAGGTAGTTTCCTCGGGACCCTCGGCCCGGGTAGGCGTGTAGTGTGGAGGCTTACTGCTGGCATATGAGCTTTGCCCGAGAGAGGCCTTTCCCGCCTCTTGTCCCCTCCACTCCTAAATTCTTTTGTTGCGTTATGTGTTGGCTGGTACAGTGGCGCCTCCAGCCTTGCCCAAAACTGCTGGAAGCTGTCATCAAGCCGTTGAAGAGTGTTGTCCGCTGTGGTATGTTGATATTTTTGAGGCTGCGTGGATGTGAGCCCCGATGAGGGATGCTTGTCCGCCATCTTGTCACAGCTAGCCATGCTTAGTCTGTGTGCTGCTGCAGGGATCAACAGAGGTATGTGCCTTGATCAAGTGTGGACCGGGATGACCCCCACCGGTCCAGAGAGGGGGAAACGGGTCCGAGGAGGTGATGCCTCATTGAGCTGATCTGTGGCGTTCTGCAGGTAGGTAAGGTGGCGGCCGCCCGGCTCACCCGTAACTTTAGTAGGCCGCAAGCTCTGGATGCACCAGCTCTCCCCACGGTGTATCAGTATCCAGTTTAAAGCTCCGCCGGTTGTATCTGTAGCCGCTCCGGTCTCTGCTGACTGCTCGAAGGCACCGTCTGTGTCTGTTATTGGCTTTTTAGCAGCTTGTGTTCAAGTTTCTGGCAGGAGCTTGTCGAGTGTGCGACCAGCCAGCATGGCGGTCCGGCCCCGCCCCCCGCGATTCCAATTTTGTCTGGGGCTTTATAAATTTCATTAGTATTGACTATTTTAAAAATTCTAGATTTCAAATTCTGTTTTTTTTAAATTTGATTAGTGAGCATTTTATTAGGTCTATTACCCATTTAATACCAATCAAATACCAACCATTTAATACCAATCAAAAAAAGATTTATATTCGCTTTGTCTAATAGTTGTTTTCCGATTTCATCTTTCAGGTGATCTATTTTAATTTTCATTCCTAGAAGACAGGCTTATATTAAATTCCCTTTTCAACTTTTCCAGTTGAATATAGAGATTGGGTATCGATTTATAGTTCTTTTTTTTTTTTTTATGCTGTAACGGCTACCCAGCTGGAAAGGGGTATCTGCCGTTGGAGAGGTCCTTTTCTAGGCAAGCTGCTGTAAAGTAATGGAGTTCTTATTCCCATCCACGATATCCAAGTGTATAATCTGGCATTGCTGTAAAATGAGGCAAAGTAACGGTACAGTAAATCCCCTCCAAGAACGAGATGAGGCTATGTTTTGAAGGGTCAAGTAGAACTGATGTTTACTGACAGGGGTCTCCTTTTATGCAATGGTGCCCTCTGAAAGGCTACACCCACATAATTAACACAACAGCCAATTAGATACATGTTTCAACCCCCACGTCTCCTCCCCTCAGATAAACATATAACATAATTAAAACAGACACAATTTTACCCAAGTTCTGGATGTACCCCAAAAACAGGGGGTACACCTTTAAGACCAGCACCGCTTGATAGCTCTCACTCAGGAGAACAACATGTCCAAATTTCAACCCATTCGGTTGAGGGGTTCGGGAGTTATGGATCTATGAAGTTTTGACCGACCGCACAGGTTTTCTAGCCGAAAAGAGTTCCATAAGCTTTGGCCTTGCGGTCGGTCTCCGTTCGTGCATTAAAACCCCACGAACCCCTTGCCATCCATAGTCATCCTGGTGTTCGCTGGAATCCCTATGTGAGCTTAAGCATAACTACCGAACGGCCGGTTGTTCGGTAGTTCCAGCATGAAATTACGAGCTCCTGGAGGTCTCAGCGGTGTTCGCCTGTTTGCATATCCGATTTTAGTTCCATGCGTTCACGGGCAAACACCGCTGTTCGTGCGTAAGATAGCCGCGAACACGTGTAAAGTCCCGAAATGGCAGCCACCTATCCTGAGCACAAAGGAATTCATGTGAAACCATGCGAACAGCTCCAAAAGCACTGGGAGGTAAAATACCACTTAACTGTTCCCCTGGGTGGTCTGTTGTTCGGTATTTTGAGCTGTATTCTCTGGTAAGGATATTTCCACGAACTAGTCATTCGTTTCATTTGTAATACATCCAGCGGCTTTGATATATAAGTCCAGGCAAAAAGCAGAGGCAAAAGTATAGTTCTGTTACATATGCGTCTAACTTAATTATTTGTCCTCTAATTACAGACTTGTAGGTACACCATACATTTGTAAAATTTGTATCACCTGTCAGATTCTCATTGAAAAAGCACTTAGATTCTATAAATAATGTTTCAATGTTTTCCTCACTATGGATTCCTTAAACCTCCAAGAGGGTAATACTTTAGAATATTTCCTTTCTATCTCCATAAATATTAAAGGACCACTATAGTGCCAGGAAAACATACTCGTTTTCCTGGCACTATAGTGCCCTGAGGGTTCCCACACCCTCGGGGTCCCCCTCCCGCCAGGCTCCGGGGAGAGGAAGAGGTTAAACACTTACCTTTCTCCAGCGCCAGGCGAGGAGCTTTCCTCCTCCTCTCCTTCTTCCTAGCGATGTCATCGACTGAATGCTCATGCGCGGCAGGAGCCACGCGCGCATTCAGCCAGTCTCATAGGAAGGCATTCATAATGCTTTCCTATGGACGCTGGCGTCTTCTCACTGGTATTTTCACAGTGAAAAGCACGCAAGCGCCTCTAGCGGCTGTCAATGAGACAGCCACTAGAGGCTTTAGAGGCTGGATTAACCCTCAGTGTAAACATAGCAGTTACTGCAGCGTCTGCCCAGTTTCAGCCCTGATCTTGTGATCTACTTATATTTGGTTAATAAACCCACCACAAAATTCAGTATGTTTTCCAGACACATACACCCAGTACACACACACATGCCTCCCAACATACCTGATTACTGTGGGACTGTCCCAATTTTTGGGTTCTGTCCCGCTTTTGTTCCCTAGTGTCCTGGTTTTGGACACCAGGGGACTACCCAAAAAAGTGTAGTGCGAGGACATCATTAGATGCCTGGGTGAGTGACAGGCAGCCTGGCTTCCATTCATGCCAGACTGACCTACCAATCCTTTGGGCAGACATTCCCATTGAGATAAAGTGGTCAGTATCCCTTTAAACACAGTCAACCCTGTTAGGGTTATTCACAAATCTCAGAATGTTTACAAATGAAATCTAAATGGCTAAGCTGAAGAAATGTTTCCACGTCAGCTAGTTTAGCCTTGTTTTGGTTTTTTTTTTCATTTGGATTTAATCTGCTAAAATTCTGAATTGTGTTAATAATCCTGTCAATGTCCTGGGCTCCGATTTAACTGAAATTATCTTGTGTATCCAGTCAAGTGGATTAGACAACTGCTTTATTTTTAAGCAAGTTTAAAAAAATTAATTTTAAAATTCCACAGCCCTGTAAATATAATAAATAAGGGTATCCCATAGGTACATCCTTAATTTTTTTTTTTTATTCCTGTCCCTCCTGCACTATAGGAAAACTACTAAATACGTCAGATCCACTTTAATCCCCTGGAGATAAGTCACTGCTTCAAGCAGAAAGCTGCAGCATTCTATTGGTAATTAGGGGTAAGAACTATATGGATGGTTATTAATAGGTTTATATTAAATATATGATCACCTACAATGATATATAATTAATTGTCTCTGACATTCTATTGACAGACTCTGAAAACTAATTTAATCAAGGGGAAGAGATAGCAGCAAATTAGCCCAGCTGACGCAATTTGTGTTTAAAGTCCAGGCCACTAATTGCAGTCACATGACCTACATCCAGTTACATTACTGCAGTCGAGGGAGAGAGAAAAAACAAAAAAAATAAACATTTGTGATTAAATTATTTATATGGGCGGATAGGTATTGTAATGGCTAACGAGGTAAGGCTTGTGTAAAACTGGGGAGAAATATTACCAGGAAATAATATTAAGGGGGACTTACATAGGACATAGAAAAAACCATAAGAGCGGTAAGTGTGTTTAAAAGGGGTAAGAGGTAGGTGGGTTTAAAAATGGGCTGCTGTAGGACCGGTATAGAAAGTGGGTAAATGTGATATATTAGTTTTTATGAGGACTTTATAAAAGAGGAATGGGATCTCTGAAAGGTGACTAATGCTTTTAGCTGTCTGGGCATCGTTAGAGTTCTAGTCCATTAGAAGCTGGGGTGTAAGGTTTTTTTTTTTGCTGTTTTTCTTAAATCAGACTTTTTTTTTTTTACTAAAGTATGAAATGACAGGAATTTTAAGTGAAGGGCAGAAATAGGATAGAACTTTGTAATTTTTTTTTGTGTGTGTTTTGACAAGCCCTCCTCCAGGTAACTCCCAGGGTCACCCTGTTTATTTGCAGATGGCGCTGGTTCTGCTGTCTTGTTTGCTGCTTGGATCAGTGTTGGTGGAAGGGGCACCATCAGGAGATGAGATTGTATACATGCCTGGTCTTGCCAAGCAGCCATCGTTCCAGCAGTATTCAGGATTTCTGACTGTGTCAGGGGGTATACATCTTCATTACTGGTGAGTAGGGTCTTAATATTTTCAAGTTCATAATTTAACTCGCGGTCTATCAGTTTTTACTTCCAAGCTTTGTTCTCTGCAGGTTTGTGGAGTCCGAGGCGGACCCCAACTCTGTACCCCTTGTCTTGTGGCTCAATGGAGGTCCGGGATGCAGCTCATTGGATGGACTTCTAACTGAACATGGCCCTTTCTTGGTGTGTGCAACTAAGAACCTCTTCTCTCCACCCACGGAGTGCACCCTGTACTTGGCATTTTATAAACCTTTTAGTGCTTTTAAAAAAAAAAAAAATGTTTTACCTTGTGTTTCAGATCCAGCCAGATGGTGTAACATTAGAATACAATCCCTACTCCTGGAACAAGGTGTGTGTATGTGTGTATATATATATGTGTGTATGTATATGTGTATATATATATATATATATATATATATTATAATATAAAATGTTTTCCTTTTATTCCCGAGTAAAGTGATACAGTGTATTGAGAGAGAGAGAGAGCGCTATAACTTTATTTTTACTCCCACACAGATTGCCAATGTTCTGTACTTGGAGTCCCCAGCTGGTGTTGGTTTCTCTTATTCTGATGATAAAAACTATAAAACAAATGACACAGAGGTAACTGTTTTGTGTGTGGTGGATGGATATAATTATATAAAAAATTTAAAGGACCACTAGATTCCCCAAAACAACTTTAGCTTAATGATGCAGTTTTGGTGTATAGAACATGCCCCTGCAGTCTTACTGTTCAATTCTCTGCCATTTAGGAGTTAACCCCTTTGCATCATTTACTAAAATTAGACTCAGATTGCCGCGATCCCAGCATTTATGGGGTTAATGCTGCCTTGCTGTCCATGGTGTCCCAGCCCATGTCATCGCTCTCACATCTAGTCAGAGCGATTTTTACATGTGCTACAGGGTCTCCTGACCCTCCTCCCTGCACTCCTGTGTTCAGTGTGAAGTGGTTGGAGAAGGATCAGTGTTGATCCATTTCTCACTGCTGGAAAAAATCCCACCCCTCTCACTCCTTGTGATCTGATTTTTATTTCTAAATTTTAACCCCAGGGGTTACAATTTACTTAGTTACCTAATATTTGTAAATTATTTACCTAGGGAGGATAGAAGTTAGTGGAGACATTGTCGGGGGTTTACTGTTGGGCTAGTTAAGGGTTAACAGCGGGGAAAACCAGTAAAAAAAATAAATAAATAAAAAATTATATAGAATTTGGGGGGTGGAGGAGTGAATGCTTATTCTTTCTGCACTTCGTACAAGCTAGCTGGAAAATGATCCCATGCTAAGGTTTAAAGTCTGTAACTTAAAGGACCACTATAGGTACCCAGACCCCTTCAACTCAATGCCAGGTAACTCTAGTTTTAACCCTGCAGCTGAAAATATAGCAGTTTCAGAGAATTCGGATCTGCCATCGGCAGGGGGTGGGAGCCTGGCGCTGGAGAAAGGTAAGTGGCTAAAGGGGTTTTAACCCCTTCAGCCCAGCGGAAGGTGGGCCCTGAGGGTGGATGGGACCTAATGACCCTATAGTGCCAGGAAAACGAGTTTAACAAATTTGTGTCTGTCAAAAATTGGGCATATTGTTTTATTTAGAAGAACGGAACATAATTTTATGACCATGGCACATATCAAATGTATGAAATACCCAGCAAAATGTATGCGTTTTTTTAATTTTTCTTCTCACCACAAACTTTTACATAAATTGAAGAAAAAATGGCGGTAAGTTAAGGCACAATATACACCGTTTAGATACCCTGAAATGTCTGCTTTCTTAAATGGAAGACCAGGGCCGTCTTTAACGCAGTGCAAATGGGGCAGCTGCCCTGGGCCCAGTTAGTCCCGTCCCCTATTGGCCCTCAATCCACAACAATTTATTTTAGGATCACTGCCTGCACACTAAGAGGGCTCAGGGCCCAACATTCACCTATTAATTTGGTCTATCAGAGGGTTTGGCGCAGCAAGGGAGCATTGATCCTTCGTTGTGCAGAATTTGCCAATAGCCTGAATTATAAGGTGCCGTGAGCGCCAGATGCAATAGTCTCCGGCTCTGATTGAGACCCCATTCTTGAGCTAGCAGGAAGATCAAAAGATCTCTGGTGATCTAGTGAACTCCCTGGTGGTCCAGAGTGCTGCTGGGGCTGCTGCACTCCCACACAGTTCCGGTGCACTGTGGGTGTCAGAGCACAGGCGCTGGGTTCCCAGTCTGTGCTCTGACATCACAGTGCGCTAGAACCGCAGTACACTAGACCACCAGAGAGCGAACCAGCAGCACACTGGACCACCATGAATTTATTGCCTGTGCATTTTTAATTTAAAAATTTTTTTTTTTTTTTATATGTATGTCACATCAAATTTTAAAGCCTTTTTTGTCTTCTGCAAAAACAATATATAATGTGTTGGTGCAATAAATGAGAGATGCAAATGTGTTCAGGAAGGTTGTGTAAGTCACATGCAGGTATGTGTAACTAGGGTTGCATAAACAAAATTGATTTTAATTCTTAAATGGCAGAGAATTGAGTGAGACTGCAGGCAGTGCCGCTGCAAGGATTTTTGCTGCCCTAGGCAAAAGAGATTTTCCGTGCCCCCTCCCCGTGACATCACAATGCCCTACCCATATGATCTGCCATATGAACTAACGCCAGTGCTGCACACAGTGTGTGCTTACATTAAAAAACCTGCAGGGACAAACAATAGGCACCAGAACCCCTTCATTAAGCTGCAGCTATAGAGCGCTCAGGTGGCTGCAGAATTTAAAGGGCTGGCGAAAGGGGCACAGGGTGCCCCCTCCTATATCGCGCACTAGGGGCTGCCTAGTTCGCCTTTATAGGAAGCGCCGGCCCTGACTGCAGGGGTATGATCTATACAGCAAACTGCCTGCTTCATTAAGCTAACATTGTTTTGATGACTATAGTTTCCCTTTTAATTCCTCCTGTACACAGGACTCTTTGGTCATACTGTGATATAAAACCTTTTCTTGTGTCCTCCCCTCAACACTGGTGTTGTTGAAGCATTGTTTAAGACATTCGTTTTGTGCTGTTTGTGCTGCTCTCAATATTTTGTGGTTTGTCTCTCCTTATTGCTAATAATTCAGTCTCTTTCCCTCCCAGGTTGCTCACAATAACTATCTGGCTCTGAAGGAATTTTTCCGCCTCTTTCCGGAATTTAGTGAAAATGATTTTTACATCACGGGGGAGAGCTATGCAGGGGTGTATGTCCCATCTCTGGCTGTAGAGGTATCGCAGGATCCTGCAATAAATCTGAAGGTAAGGGAGAGAATATTGGGATCACAGTATAATGCTGAGGAAACCATAAATCCCACCAATCGGCATATAAGTCGAAACTTGGCATTGGGTTACTGGGAGTCTAAAAAGAATACTCTCTAAATGTCTTGGATTCACTGGTTTGACAACAGTGCCTGAATTTATTCTCTGATTGGACAAAAATATCAGGGTTTGCTGGGGAAAAAGTCACAAAGAGGTACATGGAGGGATGAGAGTCCCCCACAATGGTCAAGATGATTGGTATCCCTCCGGTAATTAAGTGACTCCTTAGCTTGTCTGGGAAATAGAATACATCTCTGGTAATCTGTAAAATCAGTTCCTCTCAAGCACCAGAAGGTGCCACACTGGCTGTGAAGAGAAAGTGGAATAAAATTATTGTGAGAGGCTGCTCTGCCGTTCATCCTTCCAGTCTGGTAGCAACAAGCGCAGAGGGATGTCACATGAGACCAGCGTGCTTAAGACAACACATTTTTGTCCCACAATGGGACCTTCTCAGGTCTTACTGCAAGCCTAGCCGGCAATCTTCAGAATCTCCGGTGGGTGTGGACAGTGCAACAGGGAGCATCCCCATCTAGGTCATAAGTGGTATTCTGTGTGTGGAGCTTGTCACATGCATGACTTCACATATCCATAATACCTTATACCAACTCGTAAATGCTGTCTAATACTTGCTTTTGCAGGCCAGACATTGTGCTGGGGTGATTCTTATTTTATTTATTTTTTCCACTTCTTACCAGGGAATTGCGGTGGGAAATGGTCTAAGCAGCTATGAAAGCAATGTCAACTCACTGATTTTCTTTGCTTACTTCCATGGTATCTTGGGCAACCAGTAAGTGTCTTTTTTTCTAACATTGCTGTTGTCTGTACCTGTTCTCACTCCTCTTGGTGGCAGCAGCTTCCTACACCTGGATGCATAGAATACGGTAGGCAACCGTGGTTGGTGGGAGGGGGAGGCTGTATTTACTCAAGAATCATTCAGGACATCCAGCCAGTGTTGGTCACAAAAGTGAGAATTCACAGTGAATTTTAAATCTAAGGCCAGAGTAGTTGAACGGAAAGCATAGGTGACTTAGAGAATTTTTTCCGATCGGCTATTTTGACTTTAAATTTGAAATTCGCATTGAATTCTCCCTTTAGTGAATAACCCAGAGGATGTTTCATACTGTTAGAAATGTCGGCCCAGCTGATGTGCAAAGGGCCACCTTTCTGTCCTTCCATTTGCTTATGTTTTGACAACTTGCTTGGGGTACACCGGGCGCTGGTCACGTCCTCTAAGAAACTGAAGCGCTCTGCATTGAGCAAAGCAGGCAGTGCAGGGCTCTCTTTATTGGCAGATTCACTTTAGCAGGAGATAACCTGAAGCTCTATTTAGAATAGTTAGACTGGAAATCCTGATTCGTTCAAGCTGGTAAACTCTATTCTTCTCTCTGCAGACTCTGGGCCTCACTGCAAACATTCTGCTGTCCCGGTGGAAATTGTCAGTTCTACAATAATCCTGATATGAACTGCTCCCTGCATGTAAGTTTGGCAGGGCTCAAGGTTTGAAATTTTGATGCTCGCCTCAAATGATGTGAATGGGATTCCACAATGCACGGTGTGTGGTTGGCTGTTTGGCCAATCATGTGTTTTTTTTTTTTTGGTTTTTTTTTTGATCTCTCGTCTTTTTAACATGTATAGAACAGCTTGGCATGCTGGCACCTGTATTGGCAAACCAATCTAACTCTTTATCTGTGACTTCTTTGTATGGCTAACACAGTGTACATATTTTGTAGCACTGCACGTGATGATACATTACTTTTTTTTTTAAATTTATTTTATTTCTTCTTTACAGTTAATGGATGCCATGGATGATGTGTACCGCATAGGACTTAACATATACAATCTGTATAAACCGTGTGCTGGGGGTGCTCCAGGAGAGGTTAGGCAAGTGTGTGGGAGTGGTTTTGTTTTTGTGGGTAGGTATACTGGATTTTTTCGGATTAGGGGGATAGAGCTAACATTGAAATTCTCTTATTGCAGGGACAATGGAGATCACATTATGGTGTACCTACCTGTGGCGCCTTCTCACAAAATGTCTCCACATTGGAACCGGGTGACTTTAAAAAAATAAAATAAAAATGTTCTACTTTTACTGTGTATCTTGTTTACAGGGATGGTGGTAGACAAATTTGCGCCCTCGGCAAGATCAGCTACTTGCAACTCCCTGCGTGCAAACACAAAAAGCACATTTCCGACTTTGTGTATTTTCTTCTTCCCTCCGCCTCTCCTTTGCGCATCTATATCTTCAATATCTTCGGCCCACTGTGATGGGAAGCATTTCCTTGCTCCCAGCAAGTACTTTCTGTCAGACCGGGTAGAGGATACAGAAAATTCTCTGCCCACTGTCCGTGCTGCCACGCTGCAGGAAGGAAGAGCTGTGCGCCTTAGGTGGCTAGATAGTACGCCTAGCGGTAACACTCTGCTTGTATGTTTCACTGTGTACAGTGTTCTACCATCCAATGATCTGGTTTATTGCTTGGTTATTTTTTTTTTTTTGCACTAAAAGTGTTTTTTTTTTTTGTTTGTTTTTTCAGGAATTGACAGCTCTGTCACTTGTCCAGAAGCCTGTGCGCATGAATCCACCTTGCATAAACAGCACAGCTTCTTTTACATTCCTGAATAACGCCTATGTGAGGAAAGCTCTTAGCATACCTACTGAGGTTCAGCAATGGGAGGTCTGCAGGTGAGATGGTCCGTATGAATCCCGGACATTCGAAGAATGGAGAACTAGGTAACAAAAATACAGAAGGGAATAAAAAAGGTTAGCGCTAATAATAAAATGTATAAAAGGCAGCGGCCTAACAGAGGGTCACTCTCTAACCCTCTACAGTGAGAATATACAAGTAAAAACAAAGGAAGGCTGCGCCAAGAGAGGTAGATAAAGTTACACAAATAGAATTCTATGTGATTTAAAAAAAAAAATTGTATATGGTTTAAAAAAAAATAAATATAATATAAAATATGTATAGAAAGTCCCAATATATATCCTAAATTGTAGTCTCAACTGGTGTAATGTCTTCTCTGTTGGGAGTAGTCCGTCTCACGATATGAAAGACACAATGGGAAAAGACCAATCGTGCAGAGTGTATAAATAAATATCCGTGAAATTTAAATTCCACACTCTCATTTCCATGAGCTAAGGCCAGCTCTGGTGTAACGGGCATACAGCGGATAACCCTCCGCTTATAGGGGTGCTTGTCCTCCTGGAGAGTGCTGGTGTCCAATTCTGAAAGGAAAAGAGATAAAAACAGCCAATAGTGCTCTCTGGTGACGTTATATAGAAATAAGTTGAAGTAACGGAGGGCCCATGGCCTGGGCGGAGCAGAATGGCTTGCGTTTGGGGAGTTGGAGACAAACGTGTTTTTTTTTGTTTTGTTTTTGTTTTTGTTTTTTTGATCTTTTGTTTCTGTCTGTATATCTCGTGTTTGGTTAAAATAATAAAATTGGCATGGAAAGCGAGAGCGGGAGAACCGGGGGGACTCAGGAGCAATTCACAGACTCGGAGCTATGCACAGTGGGGTATAGGAGAGGCGGGCTGCCCTAGTGTGGATAGTGGGTTTGGTATGGGATGTGAATGTTATGTCTGTAACGGATATGATTATTACCTCTGAAAATCAGCATGCTATGTCAATGCTAACAGTTAAATAAAGAATTAAAATAAATAAATAAAAAGAAATAAGTTGAAGTAAAATAAAATGTACTCACAAGTGGAGTGCAGGCTAGTCTGCACTCTGATGATAGCGTGGGTGGTATAATCCCCACCTTAGGATATGTAAAATGCCAGGAAAAAAAATAAATAGAAATAAAATTGTATAGAGGAGTAATAATACAAAATTATTTATTAATAATACAATATATTAAAACCAATAACGCGTTTCGCCACAATGGCTTTATCAAATTGGAATGATATTAACCTGGCACATAAGGAGTATATATAGCTAGTTCAATAATTCAAAATTGGCGCCAAAAAAGTCTGCCAATCAGAGCTGTTCAAAATATAAAATAAGTGTATGTACAGGATACAAAAGTTAGATATATTACATATATAAATTATAATGTACAGATGTATGTGTATTAATGTACATTAAAAATGAGGATGGTATAATAGAATATAAAGAAAAATTGTTTAGGCGCGTCACGTGACCTGCAGTGCACCCTGGGAGCTGTAGTGCACGGGTCACGTGACCGCCAACTACACTCTCTCTCCATGTAGGTCCGTGCGGCCGTCCCACAGAAAGGGCGGCGCGCACGAACAGCAGGGCGAGTTCAGGCTACGTCACGTGGTCCGCGGCGTCAAAACAAAGTACCATCCGCGGGTCACGTGACCAAAGCCCAAAGTATTATAGGAAATGTAGTTTAGGGAAAAGTGTAAAACGGACTTAGGAATATATCAAAAATACATATGAATTATTAATATATGATAAAAAGGCAGCCTGGGGAGAGGGTGTGAATATATAAAAGTATTGAAATATAAAAATTATATAAAATTATTAAAAATGTGAATGTTTAAAAGATACCCTCAGTGAGTTAATGATCTAACTCCACATATATATTAAAAATAGAAGTAGGTAAAATACATATGAAAGTATGCATTAAAATAAGAACATATGTTAGTAACCATAAAGTCACAGAAGTGTGTGTGTATATATATATATATATATATATATATATATATATATATATATATATATATATAATTTTTTTTTTTTTTATATGTACATAAACAAAAATACAGTTTAGATGGGATACAGTCTAGAAAAAGTTAACTTAATGTGTTGTTTCTTGTCTTCCAGCTTTGATGTTCATCGAAGTTATGGGCATATATACCAGACTATGAAAGACCATTACCTGAATCTGCTGAAAACTATGGTGAGAAGTTGAATTTTAGGAAGTTGTGACTGTTCCATGAGCTTCTCAAGGCACCCATCCTTGGACACTTGTCTAAGGGCTTGGTTATCTGACTCTAATGTTCTAACTTGCTTTCAGAAATACCGTGTCCTGGTGTATAATGGAGATGTGGATATGGCATGTAACTTCTTGGGAGACCAGTGGTTTGTAGATTCTCTAGACCAAAAGGTAAACGAAAAGGCTGACTCTTTGCATATACTCATTTCGTTTTTTTTTTTGTTTTTGTTTTTTTTTGTGCTGTGGTGGGAAAACTGTCTCTTGAGTTCATGGTATCTGTCTGGAAAAATCTACCTGCTTGGTGATGGCATTGAAATGCCAATTTCCATCCAAGACAAATTTTGGTATTTTATTGCAATCAGTATTTTTGCCACAATGCGAGAGAGTTGAGGTTAAAGCACTCTCAATCCTTGCCATCCTGTAAGCAGATATGACCACTTTTAAGAGATCTTTGACCGTTTCTGTCTAAGGGGAGTGGAGATTGACGATTTTCTCCCATCCCTTCAGAGGTCAGGTGCTCAAACTAGAGTGTTGTGTGTTTGTTTAAAAGCAACTCCAGTTAAAGGAGTTGCTTTTAAACAATCATGATCACTATCCCCATGAACACTTAATGGAGGGGCTTGGTATTCTCACCATGAGAACCCAACAATGGAGTATATCCTAACCCACCCTTTATCCATGTCTAATGCTTGCACTTTGTGGAATCCAGACAAGCCTGTTTGGAAACTACATCCATTTCAGCATATACTTCGCCCTGCACAATATTGGCACTCTTGGTCTATATGAGCAGAGAAGACTGTAAAAAATGTTCTTTTGACCTTCAAAAAATACCCAAATATTCTGCTTTCACGGATATCAAACCATTGACTGATATTAAATGAACACCTAGCTGCCAATGCCAGAAAGCTTAAAATTGGCCGTGGTTGGATCTTGACCGGACAATGATCCAAAACCTACATTGAAGTAAAAACAAAAAATGGTTTACTGACCACAAAATCAAGATCCTGCCTTGACCATCCCAGTCCCCTGACTTATACCCAATAGAAAGACTGTCCCTTTCAGTTCACCCCACAGGTTATCAGTGTTGCCCTAAATTTCTTTGAAAAATCTGGAGAGATTCTGTATGGAGGCATGGTCTCCGAATTCTTGCCATTTATTCTCTAGCCTCATCAGCCATTATAGAAGAGTTAGAGCTTGTTATCTTGACAAAAGGACGCAGCACAAAGCATTGACTAAAATGGTGCCAATAATTATGCCAGACCCATATTAAATTTAAGTTTCCCCCCAAAATTACATTCCTACACACTTTGTACATAAAAGGTCCACCCAGCCTCCATACCTTGCCAAGGGAGGACTGGATCCTCTGTCCCCGGTGGCTAGCGGTTTGCTGCTGAGCTGGGACCTCCTTTGTGCTCTTCCTGCACAACTGGATCGCGTGCCCAGCAGTAATGCCAATATGACATCATATCCCGGCAACCGTCCTCACTGCAGAGCGCACAGGGAACTGTCCAGGAGGAACACAGAATGTAAAGTGCTCCTTGCCGCACTGCTAGCAGTCCCCGGCCGCGGGTTGGACTCCTCTAATTTAAACCATGAACGTTTGTGTCCCTAGGAACTGTCATTTTGGCTTGAATTGCATCAAAGCCCAGTTGCAAATGCGCACACACATACTTGCGCACACAAACATACTTATTTGTAACTTGCCTCTCTCCTCCCTAGTTGCAGGTACAACGTCGGCCATGGAAGTACAACGATGGAGACCAACAGCAGGTTGGCGGCTATGTGAAGGAATTTTCTAACTTGACCTTCCTCACTATTAAGGTATGGAATATAAGGAGGAGGGAAACAACCATTCTCTGTCTGCATTTTTTCCACCCTAGAAATTGGGGTGGGGGATTCATAGTGTATCAATTTGTGGTTTTCTGCTTTAGAGTATAGCAAGAAGTTATGCCTTAACCACCAATAAAATGTCTCCATCTGTTTGCAATGACCTTTTTAAAGGTTCCTTCAAGAATAAAAGGCAATGTGTGTAATATTTTATAAAGAATCTCCATAATATCTATTGACCATCTTCTGTCTTTCGTAGGGAGCTGGTCACATGGTGCCAACAGACAAACCCGTTGCTGCCTTCATAATGTTCAGCCATTTCCTAAAGAATGAGCCTTTCTAGCCCTGTCCGTCATCTCTTGGACTGCACGATATTTGGGGATATATGACTCCTTTCTCCTGGAGAGTCTGAGATTACTTATTGGACCCTCCTCAATTTATGGTCAAATGTCCCTACAGGGCACTGCAATGTGATAGGAAAACTGTCCTTAACCCCTTAAGGACACATGACGGAACTATTCCATCATGATTCCCTTTTATTCCAGAAGTTGTCCTTAAGGGGTTAAACTAGTTCCTTAGCTTGATTCTGTTTCAGTGTTTGCAGCTATTTGAATTAATGGATGGGTTAATAGTCTATTCAGCTACAGGTCTCACTCTAGGCTGCTTCCACAGCTGTTATATCACAATCTGTCACACAAGGTTATCTGCAGCACCAGGGTTCTTATCAGTGGTGTGGACTAATTTCTGCAGTACTGGAGCTGCTAAATGTCTTTGTATTTCAGGGAGGGAGAATAATGATCACATTTTAACTTCCTGTTTAAAATTAAAAAAAATTAAATCTGATCTTGATCTTAATATTCCCATTGTGAAACTGGTGTAAAATAAAAATGTATTTAAACTGAAGTGTCATTTCTCTCGTGTCAAACTCTTCTGGATCTTTATCCATTAATTAAATGTGCAAAAGAACACAACTCCAAAGCAGCAATGAGTTATCACCTATCTCCTGCTTCTGTGTATGTTTAGTAATGCTTCACAAAGAACCTGCTCATATGAGCTTGCAATCTATGATTGATGATAGCACTGATGGGTCACCTGGGGTTTATTTAGCAAATGAAACCTAGAATGTGACGGCAGATAAGAACCATTCGGCCCATCTAGTCTGCCCAAATTTTCTAAATACTTTCATTAGTCCCTGGCCTTATCTTATAGTTAGGATAGCCTTATGCCTATCCCACGCATGCTTAAGCTGACTCACTGTGTTAACCTCTACCACTTCAGCTGGAAGGCTATTCCATGCATCCACTACCCTCTCAGTAAAGTAATACTTCCTGATATTATTTTTAAACCTTTTGTCCCTCTAATTTAAGACTGTCCTACCTCTGGTGGTAGTTCTTTTAAATGCAATACAGAAGCAATTTGGATGCCACGTTTTTAATATTTTTGTTTTGTATATTCGTAAAAAATAAATGAAGGCTATGCCAACCAAATTTTATGCTTCCATTTGGTTTACTGTTAAAATCAGCCTGTAGTTGCAACCAATTACCTCTTTGGATAAAATGGAATTTGCGGACACACCCAGAATGTGCATTTTATTAATACTGCTGAAAAGACCAAAATATATACAGATTAAGGTGTGCACAAACAAAAACAAACCACTTGTACAAGGCTAATTTAAACCCTTTACGACCAAACTTCTGGAATAAAAGGGAATCATGACATGTCACACAAGTCGTGTCCTTAAGGGGTTAAAATAACGCCATGTGCAGGTTTTTTTTTTTATTTTTTTTTTTTTTTTTTTTGACAGTTTCAGGGTCAAATGTAAGGCTTGCAAATTAAATTCTCTTTTTCTGTCTGGGTTGTCGGGCAGGTCCCTTGAATTGTAATAAATAAAACTACATAATTATGTAAAAAGTTTACATAAATAATACCATACATAATTTAAATATATTATAAACATTTGTAATTATATATAACTTCATTCCGTGTGTGTGTGTAAATTATAAAAATGTAATTGCAAAATAGAATAAAATGACGTGTGTGTATATATGTGTATATTATATCCGGGAAAAGGCAGTGTTTACATTACTGTTTAGGAACAAATCGTTTTCCTGGCACTGCAGGTTCCCTCCCCCAAGTTGCTGAAGGGGTTAAAACTCCTTCAGTGACTTACCTGTATCCACCGACAATGTCCCTTGGCACTGGTTCAGGGTCCGCCCATGCTCCTTCATCCGGCGGGGGAGACCTATTGAGAATGTGTGGCCGCCGGGGGAGACCTCCCCATAAGAAAGCATTGAAAACTGCTTTAAATACTTTCCTATGGGGATTTCAGCGACGCTGGAGGTCCTCACATAGCGTGAGGACGTCCAGCGCCGCTATAGCGCACTTTTCGTGTGCTGTAAACACTGAAGTGCCCTCTAGTGGCTGTCTAGTAGAAAGCCAACATAGGAGGAGTTAACCCTGCAAGTACACTTGCAGGGTTAAGGGTGATGGGAGTTGGCACCCAGACCACTCCACTGGGCAGAAGTGGTCTGGGTGCCAGGAGTGTCCCTGTAATGGGGGGGAAGTGATGAGACACAGGCTTACCTGGGGTGTGGAATGAGACACATGGAGGTGCTTGGGCGGATGGGACATATTGAGGGGCTTGCTTGGGGGGATGAGATTAGGGGTTTTAGGGTGGGGAGTAGAACACTTGGGGGGGTTGATACACCTGGATGGGAGGGGGGGAGGGAATGGGGCACATAAAGGGGCTGGGGGGGAAGGAAATGAGACGCATGGAGAAGCTGGGGAGGAGGGAATGAGACATTGGGGGGGAGGGGCAGGGCAATTTTCGCACCGGGGCCCATAGGTTTCTAGTTACACCTCTGGTACGATACCATTGATGCTATGCCAGCTGGGGATTTGCCTATCCTTGCAGGTTTGTATTTGTGAGCAGTGTTTGTGCGTTTGAATGTAAGCATGTTTTCTATAGAGTATATGTGTGCATGTAGGTGTGTATTTGTATGTATTGGTGCCATAAGAATGCAGTGATGTACTTATGTGTAGTGTATGTGTTTTTGTTTGAATGAATTGGTGTTTGTATATAATTTTAGTATTTTAATACAGGGGTGTGTTTGTATATATAGTTTGCGTTGGATTGCAGGGGTGTGTTTTGGATATAATGTTGGCTTTGAAAGGTGGATTTACAATTGTTTGTACTATTGCTGTTTAAATGAAGGGGTGTGTTTGTATATAATATTTGCGGGCAAGATTGTGTTTTCATTTTGTGTTGGTGTTTGCTTGGATGTATGCACATACATACATAAATACATACACACAAATATAAATGCACATTAACACACAGATACACAAATTCATATACAAACTGACACACACACACACACACACACATAGAAACAGACACATTGATACACACGCAGATGCACAACCGGACACACAGATACATACCACCTAACACACACCTGCACACACTGACATATACACACACAGATGCACACCCTGACTCATAGTTACACGCACTGACATATTTTAATTTTTATATTTGCAGCCATGCTCCTAGCTTACGTTTTGTGTCCAGGAGGGTGGCTTGCTTGGGGTCCTGGCGATGCTGGCTGAGACTGATGAGCGGGAGCGTAAAAGTCTGAAGTAGCTGTCTCCTGTCTCTTTTCCACATGCTGCCTGTGTGTGCCGCTACTGCCATCGCTTTCCTCCCACATTGCTCTGTAAGAAACTGTCTGTCACTTCCTCCCAGCCAGCTGTTATTACAGGGGCCCGATTAGCCGATCGGCCCCTTTTCAGCCATCCATAAGAGCATGGGCCACCCGATGGGACCTCCAAGCATGTGGTCCCCAGTGCGGTAGTTGCGACCTCGAAGCATGTGGTCCCCAGTGCGCTAGTTGCGCCTCTAACAGCCTAGCATGCATTCATGCCAGGCTGGCTCACCAATCTTTCAGGCAGAACTTCCGATTGAAATTAAGTGGTCTGGGTGCCTATAGTGTCCCTTTAAACACAGTCAGCCCTCTCAGGGTTACTCAGAAATCTCTGAATCTTTACAAATTAAATCTGAATGGCTAAACAGAGCTAAATGTTATGATTACATTTGGAGCGGTTTATTTTCTACATCAGCTGGTTTTATCTAATTTTTCCCATTAGGATTTAATTTCCTAAAATTCAGAAATTTTGTGAATAACCCTGTCAATGTCCAGGGCTCTAGACAGGGGCCCCAATCTAGCTCAAGTTATCTTGTGTATCCAGAAAAGTGGATTGGAGTACTGCTTTAGTCTCTTGGACAAGCAGATCTTAAAAGAAATGAAATAACCAAGATCTGAAAATCTTGGCGAAAATCCAAGCTGATAGACTGAATGCACTACTGAACTCACTCATACATGCAGACCAAGTGGGTTTCATTCCGGGCAGACAACTGGTCGAGAATACCAGGAGGAATATAGACCTGATTTGGAAACAGGTGACCTCCGAGACACCCACTTTAGAATTTATAACGACCACAAAAGCAATGTATCATGAAGTACGAGCACAGGTACAGATTACGGGGCTCCACTGAAACCATTTCAGCTCTACAACGGAACCAGGCAGGGGTGCCCACTCTCTCCCCTTCTGTTTGTGCTAGCATTGGAACCCTTGATGCAAGCGATAAGACAACATCCAGGAATTGGAGGAGTACGGGTAGGAGACAGAGAGTTCACCGTCTCGGCATATGCAGATGACATCCTCCTGACCATTACGAACCCCATGGAATCTATGTCAGCACTGCAGGAAGTGATAAAAGACTATGGAGAAATATCTGGATATAAGGCTAAAATGCAAAAATCCCTTGATTAGGACCTTGATAGGAGACTTAGAAAAGTGGACGGACAAACCCATCTCGTGGATAGGACGGATTAACTCTGTTAAAATGAATATCCTCCCACGGATCCTATTCTTATTCCAAGCATTGCCTATCTGCGTTACTAAAACACAATTGACGCCGCTACAATGATCGATAGGAGACTTTATTTGGCAGAACAAAAGGCACCGGATATCTAGACAGGTTCTCTACAGACGTAAAGAAAGAGGGGGATTGGGCCTACCAAACCTATACTTTTATTACCTTGCGGCCCAACTGAATGTGGCACTCCCTGCTGGAAGAGAGAAGATGGGTTGAAATAGAATCCATGATGGTGGGCTGGGACGTCCCCCAATTCACTATGTGGGTCTCAAGGGAACATAGACCCATTATACGAGTGACTTGCCCAGCCATACTCAACTCACTCCAAATATGGGACGCTAACAAAATCAAGTATGGACTGGCAGCCTCCCCCTCCCCCCTGACTCCAATTCGTAGAAATAGAGAATTCCAACCTGGAATGGCTCCTAGAGATTTTCGAAATTTAGAAGAAACAGGACTACAACGGATCCACCAGCTATACCACAACGGGAACCTCATCCAATTTGCGCAACTTCAATAAGATAACCACTTAACCCCAACGGATTTCTTCAGATATATTCAGATCCGGGATTTCGCAAACCACATATAAAGGCAGCAGCTCAGAGAAGGATGACTCTCTATGAGAAATTATGCTTAGACGGAGTGGCCCCCAGGGGCATGATAACACTCATGTATGCCCACCTCAGCACGGAAAACAAAGAATGGGGAAGGCTGGCTTACACCGACCAATGGGAGACAGAACTGGGAGAAGTACTAGAAGGAATTGAATGGCAAGAAATATGGGAAGCAAATAAAAATGCTTCTATCTGTGTCACGCTACAGGAACAGATGTGGAAAACCATGCTCAGATGGTATACCACTCCTGTAAAACTGTATAAGATGCACAAAATGGACACAGATGATTGTTGGAGGGGTTGTGGAGCCCGAGGAACATATCTTCACATGTGGTGGGAATGCCTGAAAATCAGTAGATTTTGGAAGGCAGTTGAGGACTTACTGAAACAGACATTTAACAGGCCCCTAGCTCTGGATCCTTGGATATATCTATTGAATAGGTCTATCGACGGATGGACCAAGAGAGAGCAGAAACTAGTCCATAAAATAACTCTAAGTGTGCAACGAACAATATCAACCGCATGGCTCTCACCAGAGGGTCCGGAGTTTCCGGGAGTGATATCCAGGATCCGTGAATGTAGGATAATGGACGACCTGACAGCAAGAGTGAAGGGGTCAACAGTAGCATTTCTAAGACTTTGGGAGCCATGGGATAATAGCATAGTGGGATCCAGTGAAAACAAGTAGGACTGATTAGGAGAAGTAAAGGGGAACTAGCAGCGGAGGTCCCCTTCTTGCGAAGGACAAAGCCATCACATATGGCACAAGGGGCCCCTGATCGCCCTCCGTCCTCCTGGTTCCCCCCCTCCCCCCCTGCCCCCCGGTCCTTGCTCGCCGCTTTCCGGATGCTGCACCCCATCTAAATCTCCTTTCTCTCAAACGATCTACTCTGTTTCTCTCTTTCTGATCTCTTTTCTCTTACTTCCCGATTCCTAAGGGGAGGATATCTTTCTCAATTTTAATTTTGTTTATTTTTTATATATTTCTTACATAAATTTCCTCAGGCATCGTCAAAATAATGAAGGAACAGGGAGACCTAGAGCTATAGAATAGATATTAAAATAGGACTCCTATAGTTATGCCTGAATGCCTGAAAAATATAAAACCCTCGATGGGAGACAAGCATCAAAGATGTAAAGATAAGGTATTACAAGGTTCATATGGAGCATATTCTGCATTCTAATGTAATACCAATGTTGGCTTCTGCGCAAGCAAAATTATTACTGTGCACTTGTTTACTCCTGTCAAGTAGAAAAAAAAAGAAGAAAAAAAAAAAAGAAATTAAATAAAGTATCATTCCACAGCCCTGTGAATATATCTAAGCAGGAAATGCCATAGGTACATCCTGAATGTTTAAAATTCCTTTACCTCATGTGCTATAACAATACTACTAACAATACTACTAAATATAGGGTTGTCAGTTCCACTTTAATTCCCTGCTGCCCTGTATTGGTAATTAGGGGGGGAAGAACTATATTAATGGTTAATAAATTTATATTAAATATTTTATATGCAAGAATACATATATAATACACATATACATTAAATATTTGATCACCTAGAATGATATATAATTAACAGTCTCTGGCACTCTCTTTTGCCAGCCTCGGAAAACAAGTTTGATAATGAGGAAGAGCTAGCATCCTGTTAGCGCCAGTGACGCAATTTGTGTTTAAAGCCCAGGCCTCTCATTGCTGTCATGTGACCCATCTAGTCATATGACTGCGGTGAGGCAGAAATAAGGAAGTGACAGCAGGCAGTCTGCACTCACTGAGAGGGAGAGGTGAGTGAAACTCAGGGGAAATCCGCGATTTAATGCTTTATATGGGCGGATAGGTATTGTAATGGCTAACGAGGTAAGGCTTGTGTAAAACTGGGGAGAAATATTACCAGGAAATAATATTAAGGGGGACTTACATAGGACATAGAAAAAAACATAAAAGGGGTAAGAGGTAGGTGGGTTTAAATATGGGCTGCTGTGGGACCAGTATAAAAAGTGGGTAGGAGTGATTTTTTTTTTGATTTTTTTTTTATGGGGACTTAATTAAAGAGGAATGGGATCTCCTGAAAGAGCACTAATTCTTTCAGCTGGCTGGGCATCATTAGAGTTGTGATCCATAAGAAACTGGGTTGTGAGTTTTGCTGTTATTTGCCCAGATTTCCAGGGTTATTCACTTAAGTGTGAACTGAAAGGAGTTTAAATGTAGGCAGAAATTGGGAAAACTAGTTTCACAGTCTGTTTTGTTCCATTTTGACTGTTCACACTTTTGTGAATACCTTTTTATTATATATATATATATATATATTTTTTTTTTTTGTGTGTGTGTGTTTTGACAAGCCATCCTCCAGGTAACTCCCAGGGTCACCTTACTTATTTGCAGATGGCGCTGGTTCTGCTGTCTTGTTTGCTGCTTGGATCAGTGTTGGTGGAAGGGGCACCATCAGGAGATGAGATTGTATACATGCCTGGTCTTGCCAAGCAGCCATCGTTCCAGCAGTATTCAGGATTTCTGACTGTGCCAGGGGGTAAACATCTTCATTACTGGTGAGTAGGGTCTTAATATTTTTAAGTTCATAATTTAACTCGCGGTCTATCAGTTTTTACTTCCAAGCTTTGTTCTCTGCAGGTTTGTGGAGTCCGAGGCGGACCCCAATTCTGTACCCCTTGTCTTGTGGCTCAATGGAGGTCCGGGATGCAGCTCATTGGATGGACTTCTAACTGAACATGGCCCTTTCTTGGTGTGTGCAACTAAGAACCTCTTCCCCATGTACAATACATGTCTGACTGCACTGTGCACTTGGCATTCAATAAACATTTATTCACTTTTTTATTTTTTTTTATTTTTTTACCACCTTGTTTTTCAGATCCAGCCAGATGGTTCAACATTAGAATACAATCCCTATTCCTGGAACAAGGTGACTTAAAGAAATACATTTAATTGCCCCTCCTCCCCCTTTATTCCCAAGTAATGTGATTAAATAATTTCTCTATTTTGTACACAATGTATTGAGAGAGAGAGAGATCTAACTTTATTTTTACTCCCACACAGATTGCCAATGTTCTGTACTTGGAGTCCCCAGCTGGTGTTGGTTTCTCTTATTCTGATGATAAAAACTATAAAACAAATGACACAGAGGTAAAATGTGTTTTTTTTTTATTTATTTTTTTTTTTTTTATATACTGGGATATATCTATCTCAAACACGTACTGTTGTTGCTGCTGCTTTGTAGTTTTATACATACAAAAACAAGATGGAGCTTCTTAAAATGGCAATATAACAGATATTCTGAAAAATAAAATATAAACAATAGCGCAATACAGTAATGCAAAGAAAATTAAGTGTGTATACAGTAGATTTTTCACTCACAAGCCTGGAGTCATAATCTCATAGTCTGAGGAAGCCTGTTCTACAAGGCGAAACGTGTTTTGGCGATTTTTAAGGACTATATAGCCCTATTTAGACAAAAAGCTGTTATATTTTAATTTATTTTAACACTTATTTTTTATTAAAAGTTTTTACTTTGAATACATTTTTTTGGAAATTTACTACTGACCCGGCACTTTTGTCTGTGAGTTGGTTAAAGGGGAGGATAAAAGGAATCCTGCATGAAAGAAGGATTTGGACATCCTGAAATGGTCCAAAGGCACACACCATCCGAGTCATATGAGATTATGACTCCAGGCTTGTGAGTGAAAAATCTACTGTATACACACTTTTAATTTTCTTTGCATTACTGTATTGCGCTATTGTTTATATTTTATTTTTCAGAATATCTGTTATATTGCCATTTTAAGAAGCTCCATCTTGTTTTTGTATGTATATTGTTGATTTTAAAGTGGTAGAGGGGACACCACTTTGAGGTGTATAGAGCTTCGTATTGACTATTTTCCACATTGTGCACATATTTGTTATATTGCTTTGTAGTTTTAAGACATTCATTTTGTGCTACTTTATAATATTTTTTTTGTACATAGGTTTGTAGATCACACATTAATCCTGTTTTATTCTACTTCCTTCTCATGCAGAGCCCTATGATGCGCTCAATATTTTGTGGTTTGTCTCTCCTTATTGCTAATAATTCAGTCTCTTTCCCTCCCAGGTTGCTCACAATAACTATCTGGCTCTGAAGGAATTTTTCCGCCTCTTTCCGGAATTTACTAAAAATGATTTTTACATCACGGGAGAGAGCTATGCAGGGGTTTATGTCCCATCTCTGGCTGTAGAGGTATCGCAGGATCCTGCAATAAATCTGAAGGTAAGGGAGAGAATATTGGGATCACAGTATAATGATGAGGAAACCATAAATCCCACCAACCGGCGTATAAGGCTAAATTTAACATTGGGTTACTGGGAGTCTTAAAAGAATACTCTCTAAACCTCGTTGAGTCATTGATTTGACAAGAGTGTCTATGATTCGTTGTACTGGACAAAAAGGTCCAGGGTTTGCTGGGAAAGTAAAAATATTAGACGATAAACACAAGTGGTACTTGAAGGGATATGTGTTCAACACTACCATCTGGTAATGAAGTGACTCCTTAGCTTGTCTGGGATACAGCTCTGGTAATCTGATCCACAGAAGCACCTGAAGGTGTTACACTGTGTGTAAAGAGAAAGTAAGATTAAATTACTGCAAGCCCTTATTGCCTTCCGGTCCGGTAGTAACAATCCCAGAGGGATTTCACATGAGACCAAGTTTCAGCGTACTCATGACAGCGTGTTTTGTCCCTCATTGGGACTTTATTTCAAGTCTTGCTGGATGCCTAGCTGGCAATTTTCAGAATCTCCAGTGGATGACTCTCATTGGATGTGGACAGTGTAACTGGGGAAGTCCACATCTAGGTCAGATGTCCTATTCTGTGTGTGGAGCTTTGCCAGGCTAATGCATATGAGTTCACATCTCATGACGCTTTAGGAGCAACCCATAAATAATGGGGTTGCCAAAAAAGGTCAGATATTTGCATCCTGCCATTACTGGCCAGATATTGTGTGTAGGGTATTTAATAAAAAAAAAAAAAAAAAAAAATACTATTTGTATATGACTACAAAATTGCTGGTAAGTTTCTTATGGTGTCATTCAGCTAATAATTGGCGAAACGTTGGCTATTGTGTGGGTTTCCTCACCCCTCTGCAGGTGATGGGTGAGATCTGGGGGTTTGATGCAAGCATTTTTGTTTATAAATTTTAGGTGGTGGAATAATTCACTGGCGCATAAGAAATTTTTATCATTCATTCAATAAAGGTTAAGTTTTATACCAATTTGTCACTTACACAATGAAAACCTAATTCATCTTTTAACCCATTGTTTGCCTGGATAGATCTACATCCTCTACAGATGGTCATGTGATTTTGGGATGTTACTTGTTAAAGGGACAGATATAACTCACATAGCAAAATTTAGTTGTTTGATTTTATTTATATATAATTTTTTTTTTTTTATTTGTTGTTTTTTTTTATTTTTCTTCTTAGGGAATTGCGGTGGGAAATGGTCTAAGCAGCTATGAAACCAATGACAACTCACTGATTTTCTTTGCCTACTACCATGGTATCTTGGGCAGCCAGTAAGTGTCTCAACTACATTTCAAACTAAGTGTTTTTTATTTTTTTATTTTTTTTGCTTAGAATGCGTGATAATGACAGACTAAGTATACTCGTCTGCAACAGTTCATATAAACCAGGCTTTCCACAGAGATTAAATGTCCATTCTAAGGACATGCTTGTGTTAAATATACTTGGCTGAGCTAGTCTGACCCCTAAACCTCTTGGTGTAATAGGGGGGTAGATGAGCAGGATTTACAAACTGACAGACCTTAAATGTCCATTCTAAGAAAATATCTGTGTTAAATATACTTGGCTAACTGCTGAGCTAGCCTGACAGTTCAACTAAGGAGAACAGACCAAGGTGATTGGTGTACAGGAATATTATATTGGTGTAACAGGAGGGCAGATAACCAGGATTTATGCACTGACAGAAAAACATGTACAGTGGTAGAATGTTGTATAGACTAGTTTAGGAATCAAACTAGTACAAAGACACCCAGCTATTAGGAGGGCTACACAAACTCCCTACTGCATAAATCTTGCCTGTAGTAGATTAAACAAAGAGCATAGTTATTATCCAGGCTAGGATTGGAGTCGCTAATGTTGTACCTCAGGGAGTGTTATCATTGTTACTTTACTGCATCAATAGTAGGTCATTTAGTGTGGAGAGAGAGAGAGAGAGAGAGAGAGAGATAAAAGAGAAATGAAAATTCTAATACAAAATTAAAGAGAACTTTGTGTATGGTATTTAAAACTTTATAAATGGCTTCTCTTGTTGCCAAAGAGAGAGTATGCTCAGATGGCAGTCCATAGAGCAAGTTCAGCCGATTTCCTCTAAGTGGCATAGCTGCAACCTTGCCTGGGCATGTGTTGCTCCGGAGCGGGGTGCTGCAAGAGGGGCGGCGCTTTTTTTTTTTTTTGCAGACTTTGGTTCGTCGGGGGAGGGTGAACAAGTTGAGTGGCCCCCGGCCTTGTTGAGTGGTCATGAGGTCGTGAAATCCTTGTTTTAGATCTAGCACTCTGAGGAGGCTTCACCGTACATAGCTGCTCCTTTCTCTGGCTTCCTTTCTGCGTTAGACTTGTGGTGTCCATTTGACGTGCTTGTATCTTCAGCCAGAAGATCTGGCTTAGCCACCACAGGGAGTAGGCAGTAGCGTCGCTAAGTGCCCTCTTGGTTGCATTCACGCCATGTGCGTTTGTGCTTGCAGCATCTGCCATCTTGGGATGTTATGCGATATCTACTCAGTTTAAGTGTAGAGCCAAGCTGGTATAGCTGACTACTCTCCAGAGGGGACCGGATTATTATTATTATTATTATTATTATTATTATTTTTTATTATTGCGCTATCCTCCGTCGGTCTGGGGGTGGAGAAGTGTTGAGATTCTCGTGTAGCTAGGTTTGATTCTGAGGGAGGAAGGCAGCTGCCTCTTCTCTACTCCGTCTCCAGTAGGTCATAGCCTGCCACTGCCGTTCTCTGAGGCTCAGGGTGTCGATTTTTTTTAAGGTGTCCAAAGGTAGGTCAAGGTGTCCCCAGCATGGGAGTCACCTTGGGTTGTGGCCTCCAACTTGTTAGCTTGGGTTATCACCGGGTTAGCAGCAGGCGCTCATGCAATGCATGTCTTGCCAGCTTGCAGTCCAAGCTCTGCTCCCTTCTTTAGTTCATCTTAAAGCCATACTTTATAAAGTGAGTGACTGACGTGTGAGAACATGCTATCTCATTCACAGCAACTTAATTTCATGTACTCTATTTGCTGCGGTTCTTCTAAATTTGAGCTTTGCCAGAGGATTTTTAGAAGACTCTCTAAAAAGAAGCTTAAGGCCAAAATGGCGGGCACGCCGAAGCTTAAATCTCGAGATACAGCGGCAACGCCTCAACAACCCAGTCAGCCCTGGCGGCTCTATGACCTTGCTGGAGGCTATTTTTGCAAGCTTCTGGGCCAAGCTTAGGGAACGCATGACAGCTCCCACATGCTCTCCTGCAGGGTGGAATGGGGAGAAGAACCAAGGGAGGCTCCCTTTGGGCATCAGCATCGTGACCACGCAGGTCTCTGCCAGAGTATGCCCTCCTTCGACTGAGGGCCATTAAGGTTTTGCCCAGAAAGCACCGTCCACAAAAGCGGAGACCTAAACCGGCGGCATGCCAAAAAGATCTCACGCAATCCCACTTTTGGGAAGGACTTGGACTCACAGAGCCCCCGAGTCCGTGGGTTAGTGGTGTTGGCCCCTACAAGGGTCCAGGGATGGAAGGAAGCCATCCCGGGACACTGCCCCGCCATCTTACTAATGGCTACAATCACCTCCAAGAAAGGCTCCTCATGGACACCTCTGCTATGCGGCACCACAGAGATCTATTACTACTTGCCTATCACTTCCTGAGAGTGACCGCAGAGGTCCCAGAGCATGAGCACCCTACAGCTTTACCACCAGATAGCTCCAGCAATTGATCAGAACACATGAGACTCTCTATACACTATAACACTGCCGTTATAACCAGACTTAAAGCATGTTTTTCAGTTCATCTGTTTATTTTTATCTTATAACTGCTCTAAGCTATATCTCTCAAACATTAACAGTTCAGATAAGCACCATGTTGTCGTATAGTTATTAACTGACATGCCCTGCATATTCATGTCTTATTAATCCTGAAACCGGATACGAATCACCTTGATTGTATTAGACATGTGCGAATGTGTCTGCCAATGTATAGCCTAAACAAACCAACATACGCCGTTGCAGCGCACTAAGCACCTCGCAACTATCTCATATGTCAGAATAAGCACCAGGGTAATCAAGGTCGTATGTTGCATTGTTTACAAATAGTGCAGCACCACCTCAAGCCATACTCTAACCTGTGTTAAACCGCTGCTACACGTTTATGCCTGTTGTTACTATGCAAAATATGCAATTATCCATGCCAATATCTAGTCTGCATATTCTTGACCTATCTGAAAGCTTTTGTTTAAAACTCTCTTACTTTGACATAATATCTCAATGTCTAGCCTGATAATATAAGATTGTGCTGTTTATTCGCATGCCATGTCAATCCACTGTTGATAATAAGGTTGCTGTTGTGGCACTGCAAGATTAAATGTTATTTGTTTTCAAATGCACAAGAAAAATAATAAAAAATTTAAAAAAAAAAAAGCAAAAAATGGGCTGAGTGGGTAATTTTTAGGGCTTAACACTAATTAGAACACGAATAACTAATGAAGAAAAACACATTAAGGAACATGACTTCAAAAAATTACCACTAATAAAACGTTACTTCTATTGTAAATGTTTAAAAATCACTACGAAATCTATGAGTAGAAGAGGGAAAACCCAAAAGTGAAAGGTGAGAGAACCATAAGTGTAGTAATAATAATATAATATAAAAAAAATAAAAAATTGAGCAAGTATCCGCAAGAGTGCAGCAGTGACGTTGGCACCAAAGAGGACCCCACTGGATCAAGATAAAGGCGCCTTGAGGTATTTGGTTTTAGGTAAGCAAACTCGCCTCCACATAGACGATTTTAGACTGGAAATCCTGACTTGTTCGGTCTGGTAAATTATATTCTTTTCTCTGCAGGCTCTGGGCCTCACTGCAAAAATTCTGCTGTCCCGGGGGAAATTGTGAATTCTACAATAATCCTGATATGAACTGCTCCCTCCGTGTAAGTTTGGCAGGCTCAAGGTTTGAAATTTTTGTTCACCACCTCGAAGTGTGTGTGTCTGTCTCCCCGTCCTCCCTCCCCAATCATGTTTTAGGCAGTGATCTGTTATAGAACAGCTTGGCACACTGGAATCTGTATTGGCAAACCAATCTAACTCTGGGTCTGTGTCTGTTCGTCTAATAGTGTATATATTTTGTTGCACTGCAAAACTGTACTTAATGTAAAAAATATATATATTTTCTATACAGGTACAGGAAGCCATGCATGATGTGTACAGCACAGGACTTAACATATACAATCTGTATGAAGCGTGCGCTGGGGGTGCTCCAGGGGAGGTTAGGTAAGTGGGGTTTTTTTCTCCCTTTGTTTAGTTGGTTAATTATGTGGGATTTTGGGATGCAGAAAACTCTAATCATTTAACTTTCTCTTATTGCAGGGACAATGGAGATCACATTATGGTTTACCATCCTGCAATGCTTTCTCCCAAAGTGTCTCCACATTGGAACCGGGTGAGTGATTTTTATTTCTTCTATACTTGTTGCCTTGGTACACTTTTCTCTCGCCCCCTACCCACCCCTCTGGGGATCTCGTATAAAGGTCTGGTGCTAGACTATTTTGCGCCCTAGGCAAGACCAGCTACACACCCAAACAATGATTGCCGGTTTTGTGTGTAAATATCTCATACCCCTCCCCCGCCCCTTTGTGCTAATATCTCCTCCCCCCCCCGGCCCCTTGGTATCATTCTCTCCCCTGGCCCCTTTTGTACCAATCCTCCACCTAGTCTGACAGGAAGCTGTTCATTGCTCCCAGCAAGCACTTCCTGTCAGATAAGGTAGAAGATAGAACCTTCTAATTGCTCGGCCATGCTACAAAAAGTGACTGGCAGGAGGGGGAGCACTCTCTATCCTGCTGGACATTGGGCCAGTGTGCACTAGGCGGTTGCAAAATTTGCCTAGCTGTGTGTGTGTGTGTGTGTGTGTAATATTTATTTTATGAGCAGTTTCTACCATAGGATGTCTGGTTCATTGCTTGACTTTCTGCACTAAAGGTCCCTTTTTTTTTTTTTTGTCTGCAGAAGTTGGCAGCTCTGTCACTTGTCCAGAAGCCTGTCCACATGGATCCTCCCTGTATAAACAGCACAGCTTCTTTTACATTCCTGAATAACGCCTATGTGAGGAAAGCTCTTAACATACCTACTGAGGTTCAGCAATGGGAGGTCTGCAGGTGAGATGGTCCGTGTGAATCCCAGACATTTAGATGAATGGAGTACTAGGTAACATAAATCCAGTTTAGATGGAATGTTGTGTTTGCAGAATAAGTGAACTTAATGTGTTCTCTTGTCTTCCAGCTTTGATGTTTATCAAGGATATGGGCGTGTATACCAGACTATGAAAGACCACTACTTAAAGCTGTTGAATACTATGGTGAGAAGCTGAATTTTAGGAAGTTTTGACTGTTCCATGAGCTTCTCAAGGCCCCCATCCTTGCACACTTGTCTCGGTCTAAGGGCTTGGTTATCTGACTCTTCTAATGTTCTAACTTTTTTTTTTTTTTTTTTCAGAAATACCGTGTCCTGGTGTATAATGGAGATGTGGATATGGCATGTAACTTCTTGGGAGACCAGTGGTTTGTAGATTCTCTAGAACAGAAGGTAAACGAAAAGGCTAAATTGTTGCGTATACTCGGCTTTCTTATGCCGTGGGGGAAACCTGTAACTTTTGCTTTACACATATGGTATCTGACTGCTTTGTAATAGCACTGAAACACCAATTTCCATGTTGGACAAAATGAGAGAAAGGGTTGAGCTTGAAGCACTCTCCATCCTTGCCATCGGGTAAGCGGATATGACCTTTTTGAGGAGATATGTGACTATATTTCCCTTAAGGCAGGCTTGTCCAACCTGCGGCCCCCCAGATGTTGCCAAACTACATCTCACATGATTCTTTCAATGAAACAGCGAGGGAATCATGGGAGTTGTAGTTCAGCAACATCTGGGGGGCCGCAGGTTGGACAGCCCTGCCTTAAGGGGAGCTGAGATTGGAGCTCCTGAACTCTGAAAAGAGGGGAGCAAAGAATTAATAGATGAACGTGCGTGTGTTTTGATTGATTTTTTTTTGGCAATTCTTTGTGGCTTACAGTTCTCACCATGAGCACCCAACTTTGGAGTATTAGGAATTGATATATCCTAACACACCCTTTCTCTATGTCTAATGCTTGTACCTTGTGGAATCCAGAAGATTAATTTCAGCATATACACTGCCCTCCACTAACTTTGTCACCCTTGCAAAGTAGGCAATAAAAATTTTGTGATTAGTGGAGGGCACTGTAACTAACCAAGGCTAATTAAAATTACTTACAACTATTGTCTTTGGTCAGTCTTCTACTATAAGGTCTCAGAACTGATCTTGGATCATAAACCGTCTTGTATTTAAGGTCCAGCTAGTTGCCTGTTAATGTTATCCAATTAAACAATGAGTCTCTGAGACCGGCCCTTTGGCTTGTATTGCACCAAAGCCTATTTGCAAATGCACACAAACCTACTTATTCGTAACTTGCCTCTCTTCTCCATAGTTGCAAGTCCAACGTCGGCCATGGATGTACAACGATGGAGACCAACAGCAGATTGGCGGCTTTGTGAAGGAATTTTCTAACTTGACCTTCCTCACTATTAAGGTATGGAATACATGAAGAGGGGAGGGGAGGAGGAGGGGGAGGGGGGAGGGTGGGCGGAGTGGGGGGGGGGAACAAATGCAGACAATTGTGGTGGTCTGCTCCTTGAGCATACCAAGAAGCAATATCTTAACCACTGATTAAAATTCTACTTTGTCTTTTCTCCACTTCTGCTCGTATTGACAAATTAAACCACACGCTACTACTATCGATATGTTTGCTGTCCGGTGTGACATGTTGCAGGTTCCTTTAAAAGGATAAAACACGATCTGTGTACTGCTTGCTTCCTGTTCTTTTGCAACGTGTTATTCTATAAAAAAATATCTATTGATCATCTTCTGTCTTTCGTAGGGAGCTGGTCACATGGTGCCAACAGACAAACCCGTTGCTGCCTTCATAATGTTCAGCCGTTACCTAAAGAATGAGCCCTTCTAGCCCTGTCTGTCATCTCTTGGACTGCACAATATTCGGGGATATATGAAGCTGTTCTCCTGGAGAGATTTTTGGTTCTTTACTTATTGGATCCTCCTCAATTTATGGTCGAATGTCCCTACAGGGCAATGCATTCTGCTTCAGCTGGATTTTAAAAAGCGACAATATGACTGGAAAACTGTCCTTAAAAACTAGTTCCCTGGCTTGATTCTGTTTTAATGTTTGCAGCTATTTGAATCAGTGGGTTAATAGTCTATTCAGCTACAGGTCTCACTCTAGGCTGCTTCCACAGCTGTTAGATCACGATCTGTCACACAAGGTTATCTACTGCACCAGGGTTCTTATCAGTGGTGTGGACTAATTTCTGCAGTACTCGAGCTGCTAAATGGTTTTTGTATTTTATGGAGGGAGAAAAATTATCACGTTTAACTTTCTGTTTAAAATTTAAAAAGAAATCTGATGTTAAAATTTTGAAACTGGTCTAAAATAAAATTATAATTTTTTTTTTTTTAAATTAAAGTGTCATTTCTCTCGTGTCACAGGGTTGTCTTAACAGCATTAAAGGCTCACTGGTAAAGCTGTGCACTGGGGTCCTGCCTACACAACCACTCACAGGAATAAAAATTTAAATTTATCAATAAAATTAAGCTTATATTTATTGGTACCTCCAACACCTTCACAGATTGATGAATACTCTCTCTCACGCACACACTCTCTCTCTCTCACACTCTCTCTCTCTCTCTCTCTCTCTCACACACACACACACTCTCTCTCTCACACACACACTCTCTCTCTCACACACACTCTCTCTCTCTCACACACACTCTCTCTCTCACACACACACTCTCTCTCTCACACACACACTCTCTCTCACACACACACTCTCTCTCTCACACACACACTCTCTCTCTCACACACACACTCTCTCTCACACTCTCTCTCACACACACTCTCTCTCTCACACACACTCTCTCTCTCACACACACTCTCTCTCTCTCGCACACACTCTCTCTCTCTCGCACACACTCTCTCACGCACACACTCTCTCTCTCACGCACACACTCTCTCTCTCACACGCACACACTCTCTCTCTCACACGCACACACTCTCTCTCTCTCTCGCACACACTCTCTCTCTCTCACACACACACTCTCTCTCTCACACACACTCTCTCTCTCTCACACACACTCTCTCTCTCTCACACACACACTCTCTCTCTCACACACACTCTCTCTCTCACACACTCTCTCTCTCTCTCACACACTCTCTCTCTCTCTCACACACACTCTCTCTCTCTCTCACACACACTCTCTCTCTCTCACACTCTCTCTCACACACTCTCTCTCTCACACACTCTCTCTCTCTCACACACACTCTCTCTCACACACACTCTCTCTCACTCTCTCTCACTCTCTCTCACACTCTCACACTCTCTCACTCTCTCACACTCTCTCTTTCTCTCACACTCTCTCTTTCTCTCACACTCTCTCTTTCTCTCACACTCTCTCTCACTCACTCTCACTCTCTGAGAATTGAGTTTGCAGGCACACCCAGAACATGCAAAAATAACAAAATATATACAGAAGAGTACAAAACCCCCAAAATCACTTGTAAATCTTAAAAGGCTAATCATGGCCGCATCACTTATGGGTAGCTCCTCCCTTAGCAGTCACAGGACAGGAATTAATTAGATTAAGTAGATTGGGTATAAAGAGTCCCTCCTCTCTTTACACCTCAGTCTTTTTTCCTGTCCTTAGCAAGTTCTACAGGACTTTTACATTTTGTTTTCTGGCCACCTTCATTTGAAGGGCCTAGTACACAGCCTGCATGAGCAGGACTACCTGGGTCAGGTTCAGTGTAAGTGCTGAACTGCAGCGTGGGACTTAGAAGGTGTTCTGAGGGAGACACTGTTCCGGTTTATTAATGGGGTTGGTTATCCTTAAAAATTTCTCCTTGTTATTAGCTTGCCCCTAATAATTGGGGTCTAAAATCTCCCCCCCCCCGAATTCCCCCCATTCCTTGATGGCAGTTCTTTCGAGGAGGCACTTCCCCGAATTCCTATGGCTTCCTGGGGGTTCAGACATTGTTGGCTGGAACGCAGTATGCACTCCAGCAGACAGGTTGGTAGTCACGGCCGAATCCGGCGAACCCGGAAGTAATTTGCATTCCGGTCGTGAGCGTTTGGAACGCATAGCGTGCGTTCCAGCGGTCTGCGCATGCGCAGCGCGGACCGGACGTTCCCCGGCTCTATTTAAACTCTGTGATACAGTTTCTCTTCCTATGCGCTCTATCAGCTCTTCAGGAGATTGGTCCTGACTTCTCTGCAGTTTGTCCTTTGCTGTTATTGCTTGGCTGTCTGGAGGATTTTTTCTGTCACTAAGGTAGGATTTCTAGCTCTTCTGTGTTGCTTGTTTGGGTTTTTTTCTTTTCTTGTCGGTTTCCTCTGCCTCTTTTTGGGAATTGTGTTTTGAATTTCCTTTGATTCTCCGTTATAGTATGGATTCTGCCTCTGTAAGATCCCTCTCTAGAAAACAAGGTGAGACATTAATTTTTTACTGGAGGGTTTGTTAAAAAGCGTGCCAAACTAAGCCTGTAATATGTTATATATGGCTTTATTTCAGCCCCAGCATACATTTGGATTCTCCAGCAAGGAAATCGAGGGAAAAATCAAATGAATGCATTAATTGTTAATCACCTGCTACGCATGGAAGGAACCTTTGCTGGGAATGCTTATTGGAAGTGGCAGATGTCCCCAGTAGGGGTTCCACACAGGACGACCTTAAACTCTGGATTTCCCAAGCTATTGCTGAGGGCTTTAAGTCTACCATGGTGTCTAGTGGTCAGAGTAAGAGACGCAGAGCGGAACCTCAGTCTTCCAGCTCTGGAGAAGACCCTGACTTGTGGGAGGCCTCAGATGATGGTGAGGAGGAAGTTGAATATACCTCCAGGTCTCTTGACTCGAAGTCTATTGATAGACTTATTACCTTTCTCAGAGACACTCTTAGTCTCACGGAAGAAAAATCTGAATTGAGAGAGATGGATAGGTTCTTTGAGGACCTAAAACCTTCCCGGTACATTCCTCGATAAGGGACATGATCCTTCAAGAATGGAATTAGCCAGAAAGGAAATCCACCTTGAAAAATAAATTCACAAGGATTCATCCTTACTCTGCTGTGGACTGCTGCCTATGGAATTCAGTTCCTAAGATTGACGCTGCTGTGATTCATATGGCAAAGAAAACTACGCTTCCTATTGACTCCATGGCATATCTCAGAGAGCCTATGGAAAAGCGTATGGATGGAGATTTGATTAAAGCCTACTTGGCCCTGGGCTCCGCCCTTCATCCGGCAGTGGCACTAACCACTCTCTCCAGAGCCTTTAGAGTATATGGCTCGTTAATTTGGAGGAGGACATTGATCTGGGTGTCCTTAGGGAACATCTCTTGGAGAGCCTCAAGGACTTTAGCCTTGCCACTGAATTCTGTTCGGAAGCCTCCCTAGACATCACTTGCATGATTGCCAAGTGTATGGCCCTGTCTGTGGCCTCTAGAAGGGCTTTATGGCTTTATTCGTGGGGTGCTGACTATGCCTCTAAGGTGTCCTTTTGTGGCCTTCCGTTCCAGGGGGATCTCCTATTTGGTAAGATCCTGGAGGATGCTATTCAAAAAGCTGCCGATGGGGAAAAAAGCATTTTTGCCTCCAGTAAGCAGGAAGAGCTTTACCTCCTCTTGGAAGAATAAGCGCTTCAAGGATCGGTCCTTTCGGGACAGCAGAAGCTATAAACCAGGAAGGGAGTATTCCATAAATTCTTTGTGCAAATCCTTCTAACACTCTTCTTCCAATAAGGCTTCCAGAGGAAGAGGAGCTAGAACCTCTGGGAAGAACTTCTGAAGGTCTTCAGGCCCGTTCGGGGACTGTGGGAGGAAGACTGAAGTTCTTCTAACCCGTGTGGGCCAAAAAATATTATGGACGTGTGGGTCACATCCATCATAAAGGAGGATTACAGGATAGAATTTTCCTCTCGCCCAAAATCCGCTTTCTTCAAGAAGTCCAGGGTGTCGGTAGGCATCAAACGAAGGGCCACGAGGACCTGCATTTCTACTCTCCTGGAACAGAAAGTGGTGGAAGAAGTTCCAAGACAGGAAAGGTTCCGGGGGGTTTACTCCACAGTGTTCTTGGCCCCAAAATCCCAGGGAAAGTGGCGTCTCATCTTGAACTTGAAGGGCGTGAACTCCATGCTTGATGTAAGAAGATTCAAAATGGAATCTTTACAGACCATCTTGAAGAGCGTCAAAAGAGGAGACTGGATGACCTCCATAGACTTGGGGGACGCCTACTACCAAATCCCTATAAACCAAGATCATATGCAGTTTCTCAGGTTCTGGGCGCTAGGAAGGCACTTTCAGTTCCGGGGACTACCGTTTGGCCTCAGCTTGGCGCCAAGAACGTTCTCGAAAGTGAAGCTATCAGCCTTCATAAGGGAGAAAGGTATCGAGATCTTCCATTACTTGGACGACATCCTTATCTTAGGTCCATCTCAAAGGATAGTAGTCTCTTCAAGACCACAGTTGGTTTCTGAACGTAGAGAAAAGCTCCCTGATTCCTTCACAAACTATCGTATTCCTCAGAGCAGTGATAAACACCATATCTGCCCATGTGTTCCTGTCTCCATAAAGGGTCACAAAAATCAGAGACGAAGTAGGGAAGCTGTAAGGTCTCAAGACTGCCTCGGCAAGAGAAGTCATGAGTCTCCTGGGTTCTTTGATATCAACAATAGGGTTAGTAAAATGGGCCCAGTGGAAATTTAGTCCAGTCCAGAATTGCTTCCTTCTCCAGTTCGACAGAGTGGGAACAGATTGGGAGCAAAGGATCTCTCTACCCCTGCCCGTGAGGAAAGGGTTGAACTGGTGGAAGAACAAGAATAATTTGGCAACAGGCTTCCCATTGGAAGAACCTCCTTGGAAAGTTATTACAACAGATGCCAGTTCTTTTGGATGGGGTGCCCACTTCAATTCCACATGGACTCAAGGGAAGTGGACCCGAGAAGAGTCAGCTACGCTCAAATCTAAGAGAACTGAGAGCTGTTTCCAAAGCCATCTTGGTGTTCTTACCAAGGATCTTAAATTATTGGGTACTGGTCAAAACGGACAACTGAGCGGTTGCTTCATATGTAAACAACCAAGGTGGCACAAGAAGCAGATGGCTCTTGAAGGAACTAACTCCCTTGATGACAATCGCCATGACCAATCTCCAGGGTCTGAAGGCGATCTATCTTCCAGGTTCGGAGAACATGACTGCAGATTTCCTTAGCAGGAAGGAAATTCTTCCGGGAGAATGGAAACTTCCCCCCGCAGTCTTTGCTTGGATTGCTCATCGTGGGGCATACTCCAGATCGACCTGATATTGTCCTCCCAGAATCATCAGGTGGAGAATTACTTCTCTCTCCACCCAGACAGTCAGGCAATGGACCAGGATGCTCTCTCTCTTCCTTGGTCATTCGATCTGGGGTATGCGTTCTCTCCCCTACCCATGATACCCAGGTTCC